GTATGAACGTACCTGTCTGAGTATGAACGTACCGATCTGGGTATGAACGTACCTGTCTGGGTATGAACATACTTGTCCGGGTATGAACATACCTGTCTGGGTATGAACGTATCTGTTTGGGTATGAACGTACCTGTCTGAGTATGAACGTACCTGTGGGCAGTCTAAATTATGACCCCTGCCTGTGGGTATGAACATCATCTAACGTACTTTCTAGGCGGCCGTTATGTACTTTACCTACGTAGCATACTGTATGTGTTTCGAACATTCGCAGTCTCTACTGTAATCAAAATATCTTCCGGCCCATCAGGGAATCATGGAAAGAGTTGGCCTGTGTTTCGGCAACTTTTGGTTGGCCAGTACCGGGTACTTCGTAGTTTGTTACGGTACTGAGCAGAAGTCCGTACTGGTTGTCATGAATGGACAGAAAGTTCTGGTAGTACCAGTACATTTCTCTACGGTACCGTACCGTACGGCATGATGCCGCTCCGTAATACAATGAATATCGAATATCTTGTGGTATCCTTTGTCAATGGCCAAGGTGCAATCGCAACAGGATTGACAACCGCATTACACTACTGTATTGCTTTGGCCATTGGATCGCTCGGCACCGTGGTCGCTGCTCTTTCGCTGCTTGCACGCAACAGCACGAACCAGCAAGGAACAAACAAACAAACAACAAACAAACAACAAACAACGTACCTACCCACACACACACATACCATTCGTTTGCCCGTTCCCGTTCCCCCGAGCAGGACCCGAACCGTTGCGCGCCTCGTCCCCGGTTCTGTCTTCTCCCCGCCCTCCACCATTCCCGGGAACCAGAGCGCCCCGGATTCCTCCGTGCCGGGCCAGCGGCGAACCCGGTTCCGGCCTCTTGCCCTGCTGGTCCTCCTCGCGGCTTGCGCCCGGAACGAGGACCCCCATCGCACGGCTTCGCACGCGCCACGGTGCGGGCTCGGGGTGTCCGCCTTGGGTCTTCCGCCCGTTCCACGGAGGCCGTCTCCGAGGATCTCGGTACCGGACCAAGACCGACCGGGACATCCAAGCACGAGTATAGCCACAGGCAGAGCCACACGCAGAGCCACACGCAGAGCCACGACCATGGCGACCCCGCAGCGAAACCTCTCCGGCGCCTTTGAAGCGGCGAACGGGGATGCCTCGAACCCGAACGCTGCGAACGGGGACGCCGCGAATCCGAACGCTGCGAACGGAGATCCGAGCACGCCGGCGCGACCGGGGAATCCGCCGAGAAAGGCCACCACGCCCCTCGGCCGGTTCCTCCCGCGGGGGATGCGCATGGTGGAGCTCACCGACGAGACCCCCAAGCGCGGGGACTACCTGGGCTGGGACGACTACTTTCTCGGGATCGCCGTCCTGAGCAGCCTGCGGTCCAAGGACCCCAGCGGGGCGGAGGGGGCCTGCATCGCCGATGCCTCCAACCGGATCGTCGCCATTGGCTACTCGGGCTTTCCCCGGGGCTGCCCCGACACGGTCTTTCCCTGGGGGGACCAGCAAGAGGGAAGCGGGAGTGGGGCCAGCGGCTACCTGGCCTCGAAGCACCCCTACCTCTGCACCGCCGCCACCAACGCGGTCCTCAACAAGGGGAGCCAGGACCTGTCGGGCTGCCGGTTGTACGCCACGGCCTTTCCGAGGAGCGACGACGTCAAGGTCATGATCCAGTCGGGCATCCGGGAACTGGTCGTCCTCCAGACCACGGACGAGCCTCCCATCCACGGACCCGGGGCGCTCGGCGAGTCCGAGGGCGAGGACAGAGGCAATGACAATGGCAGTGGCAGTGACAACGGCGAGGCCGAGGCCTTCCGGCAGCTCACCGAGCAAGAGCAGGAAGACTACGCCAGCAACGCCATGCTCCTCTTGTCCGGCATCGCTGTTCGCTACCACCGGCCCCGGGCCCCGTCGCTCCGGCTCTGCTTTGGCGCCCCGGGAAAAGGACCCCTTCCCCCCCCGAAGCACCCCCCCACCGGCAAGAGGGCGGAACGGCTTCCCACGGACACCGAGCGGGAGGCGGCCCGGGTCCTGAGGGAAGAAACCGGCTACGACGCGCTGTTGCCGGACCCCGGAAGCGACGCCGAGCGCCTCCTAGCCCACAGCGGCAGGCGCGAGGACTACCTGTCGTGGGAGGACTACTTTATGAGCGTCGCCCTCCTGACGGCCCAGCGGTCGAAGGACCCCAGCACGCAGGTCGGGGCCTGCATCGTCGACGGCCAGAACCGGATCGTCGGCCTGGGCTACAACGGCATGCCGACCGGCCTGGACGACGACCTCATGCCGTGGGGGAGGGCCAACGCCCAGGCCATCTTCAACAAGTACGTCTACGTCACCCACGCCGAGGTCAACGCCATCCTCAACAGCAAGGAGGGCTACGGCTCGCCGCGCGTCCGTGGGGGGACCCTCTACGTGACGCTCTTTCCGTGCGAGCACTGCACCAAGAAGGTCGTCCAGTCGGGCATCCGGGCCGTCGTCTACCTGGAGGACAAGTACCACGACACGGACGGCTGCAAGGCCAGCCGGGCCATGCTGCGGTGCGCGGGAATCGAGGTCCGGGAACACGTGCGGACCGTGGAGGCCGTTACCGTGGACTTTGGCCGCGGGGGGGAGGAGGACCAGGAGGAGGAGGACGGCGGCGAAGGGGATGCTTGTTGATTGGATTGGATTGGAAATTGGATTGGATTGCATTGCATTCGATTGGATTGGATTGGATTGGATTGGATTGGATTGCATTCGATTGGATTGGATTGGATTCCATTCGACACAAAACGAAATTCAAATGGTTGGATGAGGATGCTGATGCGGATTCGTTTGGTTTCGCTCGCGTGGAACTTTCGAAACGAAACGAACGCTGACCAAAACAGTACAGGTACAATTGATTCGTTCGTTTTGTTCCTCGCMTCGAATCGAATCGAATCGAATCGAATTGGCTTTGGTCAAGCAGAACGAACGACCCGGAGAGGCAGATCGATTCCGGCTGGTGGGCAGAACGGTTGTTTGGAATGCATTGCGCCGTGCCGTGCCGAATGCGACGGGAAACGAGAGATCTCGCAACGGATCCCAAAACCAAAGAATCGTTGTTGTCCGGACGAATTCCGGCAGGGACTCAAACGTCGCATTGGAACCGCGGGACGGGACGGGACAGGACAGGACAGGGTTTGCCGTCGCTCGTCGGAACAGGGGCACGACGGCGGACCATTCTCGGCGGACCATTCTCGGCGGACGAATAATTGTAGGAATGTGGTGTACCATACACTAGTGTAGTTGAAACGATCGAATGCGCACACAAATCCGCTGGCCCGTCTGTCTAGTGCCTACAATAGAGAACTGTTTGCCCGGCTCGTAGCTGTCCACCGCACGTCGGTGGTGTGCACCATGCGAACGGCAGGACGCACCACAAGACGAGCACCGCAAACGTTGCCATCTCAAGCCAAACCGCAAACAAAAGCCGGAGGGCTATCGGCTCGTCCGAAACGCGTTTGCATGCATGCATGGACGCGTGCCGTCCATTGGCTCGGACGTGTGTCCCGCCGTAGTCGTTTCTTTGGTTGCGGGTGTGTGTTTAAAAAGTTTTGAATCGATTTATGCTATGGAACACAATACATACAAACCGCGCCCCGCCGGTTTTGGCCGCCGGAGGTTGTGTGGTTGTGTCGTCGTGTGGTGTGGTGTGGTGTGGTACATGGTTGTTCTTGCTCGGATCGGATCGGGGTTTTGTTTGTGTGTTTCCGTTCCCATCCGCTCCGTTCCGCGTGTCCCCTAGTTCCCAACCAGGATGTTGTTGATGGGGATGTGCACCAGCTTGACAAAGAACCCGATGAATCCCATAATGGCAAAACCAACGAGGGTTGCCTGTGCGATCCGGGTAAATTCCTTTCGGTCGGGCTTGGTGCACTTCTTGACGAGGTGCACCGAGTCCTTGGCGAACTGCCGAAGGGGCTCGACAATGGTCTCGTTGAATCCTTCCTTGTTCTCCATATTGATCGATTGGTTTTTTTTCTGTGTGGCGTTTTGTGTTATGGTGAAGCAAGCCAACGGCGGGCATCCACGAAAGGAAAAAGAAAGGCAAGAGAACACAAAGACGGCCGTGTTAGCAACCAAGAAACACGGTAGTTTAGTTTCACGCAGGGGAAGACTCCCGAGACGATTGTTTGCTCCGATCGATGGGAACGCCGCGAGTCCGTTCGCACCCCGCTCCCCTCGATCCGGAGGACAGCGCAACGACACATTCCATCCACACGCAAAAAAGTGGTGAAGCGACGATCCGGACGATTCGGGACCCCCGGGGGCCTGCCGCGCAAGAAATGACCGATCGGATCGGAGCGGAGCGTACCGAACCGAACCGAACGCCGCAACCCGTCGCCGCCGCTGCTCCCCTCTGCTCGGCAACGCGGTCCGCATCGAGAGTTCGGTGCTCGAAGGCATCCATCATCGCACAACGCGTCCTCCGTGGTCCACCAACTTTGCCCACTTACAATACAAGTTGAGTTCTCGGTTATGGTCGTTGCTGTTGCAGCCGTAGTAGCGATGCCAGCAGGTGGAGTTTTTTTAGTGGAATGCTAACCCCAACGTCCTGTACTATTGTACGAATTGTTGCGTAGGAAGAGGTACTCGCACTCGTGCGCACACCGATAGGTCTTTTTGTTTCTCGCTCTATCGGATGCGTTACTTCTCCGTCCTTCGTACGAGTAAGTACTTGGGTACCAGGTACCCCACACTCTCACACTTGTTTCGTGATTTCGTGACCCCCCGATTTGGAACGGTTGATGGACGGACTGTTTTTTAGAAAACTTTTCACAAGGCAAACACGCATCGATGTTTGCTTCGGCGCCGAGACGTACAAGAATAGGTTTCGTATGTATGAGTCATGGGTATCCATTTCTGGTGTCTGGTGAGAGAGGTGGGAAGGCCAGATCGAGGTGACAAAACCTACCGATTCGATACGAACCAACCGGTTCAATTGGAACAGGAACAACCACGAAAACTTTTTTTGTTCCACTTTTTTTCTGCCGCGTCTGTTTTCTTTCGGAGGGACAGTACGGTAGGATTGTTCAACGATAGGTTTGTTCGTTTGTTGCGGAGCAGCGACACAAGCATCCGAGACACCACACCACCCACAGCAAGCGCAACCGGTGCCAAAACAAAACAACAAAAACCAACCATGGAGGAAACAAAACTGCAAGCCCTCGCCGATTCCCTCGCCGGGCACGGAGGCAGGAGGGGCCTCGGAACCGGCTCGGGCGGGGGGGGCTACTCCTGGGCCAAGACGAATCACCGGGACGCCGCCGGAAACCAGCGGCCGGTGGAGGGCGGCGGAAGCGAAAAGGCCTCTTCCGGCCGGTCGGACGGCCTCCCGAACAACGTCCTCTACGAACCCTTTGTGCGGGAGGGGACCTACGACCCGACCGCAAGGTTCGACCACGGGGACGGACGCCAGATCAAGCGCGATTTCTCCGACAGTCTCCACGCCGACGACGACGAAAACGCCGTCGTCTCGGCGTCGTCGTCCTCCTCGGGAAAAATGACCAAGAAAGAGCGCAAGGCCGCGAAAAAGGCCGCCAAGCTGGCGGCCAAGATCGAGGCCAAGCGACAGGCCAAGCTGGAGGAGAAGCGAAGGGCGAAGCGCGCCGAAAAAGAGGCCAGCACACAAAAGCTGGACGAAAAGGAAAAGGAACCAAAGGCGACGAAAAAGAAGTCCGGGGCGAGCAAGAAACGGCCCCGCACCGAATCCTCCTCGGACGAGGACGGCAACAGCGACAGCGACAAAAACACTTCCCCGCCGAAAGAGGAGCCACCCAAAGGTAAATCGAAATCCAAATCGAAATCCAAGACTGAGAAAAAGAGCAAGAAAGAAAAGAAGCAAAAAGAGGAAGAGGCCCAGCCCCCGAAAAAGAAAACGAAAAAGGAGAAGAAAAAAGAGACGGATTCCGAAGCAACCGAAAAGGCCGCAGAGAAAGCAGCAAAGAAGAAAAAGAAGTCGAAGAAGCAAAAGTAATTCGAGGGCGCGTACCGGTAGGACACCAGGTTGCAACGCAAGACAGTATATAGAACACTACAATACGATGCATCGCACAAATATTGTAATAGGATGCCGATCACTATTTCTTTCTTATTTTTAGTGATTCATTGTGGATGATCGGAACGAATTGTATTCTCTGAAACGACAAAACCGTACACTAGCAGGTTCCATGAGAAGATACGCTCGGATACCTGCAGCACCAAGAATCGTCCTCCATGCCTATACCCACAGATCCATTCGCCCATAAAACTACTAGGTGAACCATTTCGATCGAGTAGAGATGGTAGAAAGATTCCGGCATTCGACTTTCTTGCCATTCGTTCCAATACCGTGCGCACAGTAGCAACCAGCGGCGAGAACGCCCTTCCTTCTTGCGGTAGCACGCTAGGGGCAACCAAAGAGTCCTTGGTCGCTCCGGTCGTTGTTCCCTTCCGTTCCAAGCCGCTCGTTTTGGACATTGTTTGGCCCCGGTCCGATCAGATGGAGTTGTAGTGATCGAGGTCGTCGATGATCAGATCCAGGAGGTCCAGGACCTCGAAGATCCCGTCCTCCTCCGGGAGGTCGTTCGTGACCGTCGGTATGGAATTCGTGACCCAGAACTTTTCGAAGCAGGCCCGGTCGCCGCCCTTGTTGAACCGCTTCCAGCTCTCGTTGGGAAAGACCCCGTGCGTCACAAAGGCGTTCACGCTGGCGGCCCCGGCTTCCTCCAGGACCCGGCCCGTCTCGTACAGGGTCCCCCCGGTCTGGACCAGGTCGTCGACGATGACAATGTGCTTCCCGTCGGCGTTTCCGTCCTGGATGGTCACGCTCCGGGCGTCGCCCTCCCCCCGGGTCTTCCCGCAGACGATGATCTCGAGGTCCATGTCCAGGAACATGCCCGAGAAGCGCTTGGCGGCCCCGTCGTCGGGGAAGGCCACGCAGTTGATCCCGGTGGCCTCGATCTTTTCCTTGAGGAGGGGGATGGCGGTGTGGAGGGAGGCCACGGAATTCCCGTGCAAATAGAACCGGTTCTGGAGCGTGTGGAGGTCGTAGACCATGAGCCGCGTCGGCCGGCCGCAGTTGGGGAGGGACGAGAACACTGTGGGAGCGGGAAACCAACGACGAGTGAGCAACGGCGACGACCAAAAACAAGGTTGGTGCGAGTGTGTGTGTGTGTGTGTGTGTGTGTGTGTGCGTGTCAGAAGCAAGATCCTGCGGTACCGCACATACTGCAATAGTCACGCTGCGCTGTACTCACTGTGTGCGTATGTTGCCGCCGTGGCAACCTGCCCCTCGTTCGTCACCCGCTCCATGGTTCCCACCGGCGAAAAGGGCAGAACGACCGTCAGCGACTCGATGAAGCTCTGGAGGAGGCAGATCATGACCTGGAACTGGCTCAGCGTCGTGTCGTTGCTGTGGAAGCTCCCCAGGAAGAGGACCTTTTCCCCCGACACCACGTTTCTCGGGTTCGAAAAGCCACCGATCTCGATGTTGTCGGTCCCGTCCGGGAACTTGGCCCACGTGGTGGGGTGGAAGTGGAACCGATCGGGGTATTTCTCGGCCATGCGCATCGCGAGCGGCTCGCAGGCCTCGGCGGCGATGATCTGGTACCGGACGGATTCTCGCTTCCGGGACAGCTGGTTGTACATGATGCGCTGTGCACGCTCGTAGCTGGCATCCTCGTCGATGTCCTCTTCTCTGGACCCTTCCGACCCATAGAGCTCGCTGGAGCCATCGAATCCGGTTGCCGACGGGGTCGGTCCCGCGGAGGGCCGGTGGTGCTTGGCACTCGCAATGCGATGATTGTGGTTCCCAGCAGACCCGGACGGCCGGGGATTGGATGCGCGGGCTTGAATGTGCACGAACGAGTGGATCGTCCTTGTGGAACAGCCAAGCAGTCCGATCCACAACAGCAGAAGCGTTGTTGTCCTCGTGGGGTTTTGGTACGCGTAGCTCATCTTAGATGGTTGCTGTTGGCCTGCCGAACGAAACAATTTTGTGGAGCGAGAAAGATTGTGTCGCGCCCCCCTCTCGTTGCGGACCGTCCTTGTACATGCCGTAGACGACAGTACGAGTATCAAACTCACGTTGTGTTGGCATTTTGATGTTTGATGTTCACTTCCGCATCTTTCCCTCCGTTTCGTTTCGGCGTTTTGATGGAAAACCGTTCGGACGGTATGTACTTCGTACGATGGAGGTATGTACGGAAGGTATTCTTTTTGTTCTTTCTTTTCTTGAAAAAATTGAAAAATTGTTGGACACTCGCAGCCAATCAGGGTCCTCTGGAACCCACAGTCGCGCATCCCCCCTTTGAAATCCATCATTCGGGGGCTTGATTTTGTGGGTAATGTGTACTAATTTTTCACGAATGTTTTTGTAACAACCCATTTTTTGAACCCACAAATAACCCACAAATCTGGTGGGCCTCTTTCCAAGCATCAAAAAAATGATAAATTTACATAAATGACTACATTTGGTTCTCCTCTGCCCCAATTAACTCAAAATTTCTGATTTATTTGTGGGTTCTTTTGTGGATTGTTAGTATTCATGCTGCTGGGTTCTTGAGTGAGAAGAACCCACCACATTCTGAAAGGTGAATTATTTTTTACCAAAGAAATAACCCAAGTAACATATTAGGAGGTTATTGTTCACTAAAAGTAACCCACATTTTTCTAGGGGAGGAATTCAAAAATGGGGATACGCATGTTGGTTCTGAAGGGCCCAGAAAGAACTGAGCAAACAAAATCACAAATAGCTTCACCGATGATATTAGTAGGAATAATGATGCATGTGGTATATACCACTTTAACAAAGTTGTATTAGGTTATCCTTATTATATGGATCACCTTGTTTTTCCAACTTGTGAACCCTAAAAGAAAAGAAAAGAAAAGAAAAGAAAAGAAAAGAAAAGAAAAGAAAAGAAAAGAAAAGAAAAGAAAAGAAAAGAAAAGAAAAGAAAAGAAAAGAAATCAAGGGCAAATCAACAGTCAGAATCATGACCAAAATTCCATTTAAAATTTCAGTGGCAGACAGGAGAAAGTTTGTGATTGATATCGGCAATGGCCCAAAATTACTGCTGGCTGGATCAGAGATTTGCATACCAACAACTCTTTAGTATGGTGATAGTACTACTACTAGCACTAGCACCAGTACTAACAAAGTTCACATAAAGAGAAAATTCAGATAATTTGTTGCCTGGTGGTGGCTCATAGTCAGTGTTGTGATTATACAATACGAAGTAATAAATGGTGTAAGATATATTGTTTGATCCTTTCTTATTGCTAACAAAAAAACAAGAAGTATGACCCCTACATATCCTGGCACTCCTTTAGTACAACAAAGATTCTGATATCAACCATAATTATTATCTGAAACAAACATGTATCCTCTTTCCTACTACTGGTACTACTAGTACAGGCCAGCTAGCTGCTACTATCAGTAACTAAAAGCATCAGTTGCATATCATGAGGGGGGGAGGTCACAGCTTCATAATTGTTCATCCAAACTAGTGGCACCACCATATAAGAAAATGACAGGCAACAAAGTTGCCCCCCAAAAAATTAGCTTCAACTTACCTTGTTGAAAGTTAACTTGGATATTTGAAGTGGGCACTTGTCATTTGTTGGTGAAGTGGAATTACTCAGTAGTAGTAGTACTAATATTTTGGTCCCTACTAACAGTATTAGTACTATTACTAGTATTTTCTTCTAGTACTAGTAGCTACCTTTACTTCTTGTAAACACACACAATAAATTGATGTTCTCCTTATAGTACTAGTAGTAAAGAAAGCTGTCACAAGATCTAGAGTGACTCTCATTTAAGAAGACTTCTTAGCACGAGTTGCATATGTGTAACAACTACAAGTGGTCCCATTATCTACTTGTAGGCACTAGCATTAACATTGTTACATATGAATGACAGATAGTTCAATAAAATAGAAATGATGAACATTACTACTAAAGAGTTTCAATAAGCAAAGTACTTGCCAAATATGATGTACTAGTAGAAGTATTATTCTTTTTCATTCTGTGCATTACTGTTGTCACTAAAAGTTTCACCACTATTACTAGTAGTAGCACCAATAAAAGCAATAAAGCAAATCTGACAGCTGATTTATACTATGACTAGTACTAGTAGTAGTGCTACCTCAGGCACCAAAACAGAATGGGCTGAAGACTGATTCTCATTCAAGCAGCGAGAATGAGGAGAAGAATGTTATGAATCTTCATGTTGTACCAATTGTATCATGAATGGACTCATAGTAGGATTGGATGGCTACTAAGATACTATGCTAGGTTTATTGCTTTTTTGTTTCTCAATATTATTACAATCATACTGTTATTTATGTGCATGACATATCTTCACCATTATGTACAAACAAGAAAGAAATACCTTTTACTTCTTACTCTTACACCAAATAGTTTTTGCAGCACTAGGAGCACAAAACAATTCAAGTCTCGACATGAAGAACTCTTCTCCTTTTCCACATTTCTAGTAATATCCCGACTACTAGGAAAATAAAAATATGATCATAGTAGAACAGGACAAGAATTTCTAATGGAACACAGTATGATAGTAGTAGTTCTGCTCCAAGTATATATTAGTGAACAGGAGTTCTCATTGCCAATTTACTAGCAATAGAAATTGGATATTGATTAAGTTTGTTCACTTGTCCTCACTTGTTTGAGTTTGATGGACACTAACATTTGATTATCCATTGTGCTGCAGCTGTGTTTTGAAAAATTCTTGAAGTCCTCCTCACTTTTTTGTTGCAGTTACCTCCTTTGAGTACCACTGCCTCTCCTGCCCTTTCTTCATTTAACCTTCCTGCCACCTGCAAATTTAAATATATCCATCATTGTTGACAATTTTATAATCCTATTTTGCACACAACTTTTTGTCTCTCACTTGAATATACACCACATGACTCCATTGTTGCTTTATATTTTCAACATTAATGATGCCATGGTTACTACTACTAGTATTCATCAACAATGGATCAATCTTTTTGAAATATTTCTTGGCCCCACCTGCAACAATATCAGCTTCTGATGATGATGCAGTCAGCAAGCAGTGTTTCTGATCACCTAGTAGCATTTCTCTGTAATTTCTTTTGGCCAATCTGCTTAAGTCTTATCATATTTAAAGTTTTTTAAATTATACTGGTGTGATCTGGAAATCTATTTTCATCATGCTAGTACATTCATGCATTGGCTCATCTCATATTAGAGTGTAATTGTAGAGACAAACAGAAAATACTATGCAATCAGTTGGTAGTTCATTTGTAGTCTACACAGTCTGTCTTTGTAGGAGTCTACGTAGTAGTCTGCCTTTGTGAATTGTCAAGAAGAAGCTTTCCCCAAGAATTCATCATCACACATATGGTTTGTTTTAAGTTTAAGAAATATGTTAGGCTAGTACTTGTTTTTCTCAAAGACAAAAATATATTTTGAACAAGATGTAGTCTCCTTCAACTAGTTTGAGTTGGAATAATAAGAAAGGAGATCTATTGCAATTGTATCCAGCCACCAGTTTTGAATTCCCTCTGTACTTGTTCATTGTTTCTAGTACCACAGATACTAGATATCACTCCTTTCCTTCTTCCATTTCTGCTCACATTATTCGGAATAGCCTTGATAGATTCCCCTACTAGTAATAGCGACATGTAACCCATGAGATTCAATCAACCTACTAATAAGTTGGTATTTAATCTTAATACAAGAATATTGAACTACAGCAACTAACAGTAGTACTAGTACTAGTACTATGTTATATGTTACATTTCCTCATACCAAACTGATTGATTATGTAGTAGTAAGAATATGAGATACTGTGTGCAAGAGAGGTTGTACTACTAGTATGACTAAAGCCATGCATAGCCCCCCCACTGCTAATACTGATCCTCCTCCTGAACCTCCACTCAAGTACTAGCAACTTGGATTCCTCTCTTCTTCTTCATTCTGTTTCTACTAGTAGGCACCAAGAACTGGTGTATGTTGGTTGGTGATGGACATGGCAACAGAAATTTCAAAACATGCTTCCAGTGACAACCAAATGCTACTACTTCTTCTTTTTTGAACAATGTTCTTGTTGTTGTAGACAACACAACTGCTGTTTTTCTTCCACTCATGAAAGTTTTTTCATTTAGGAATGGTGTGACCCTCTTCACTAATAGCAAAGTACTACTAATAGTACTACTACTAGTGCAACTAGTATTGCTGGTACTTGCACCTTTGACTGGTGACAATGGATAATAGTCTGCCACTCCTCTTCATGTTCACTAGTAGTAGGTAGTAGTATTATCCTGCATGTGCTATTTCACCTGTTCCCAATTATTACTTTACAATAGTGCTGAATAATAGTACTACTACCAAAAGAAATATTACTATAGACAGAAGAGAAAATGCACTTTGAAACAACAAAAATTGATGATACTTTATCAAACCATGCCCCAAAAATAGCACTGCCACTACTAGTAGAACTACTAGTACTTTGTGCAACAAGTTCTGGAGTGATTGAAACTCAAGAGCTGTGAAACACAGAACTGTGCTGGCCCTTCAACTCTAATTACTATTAGTAGTACTTGTGGTACTAATCCCCTCAAGTGCGCTTCTCCTACTACGATGAATGCCAATAAAATAGAGGAGTAGCCAGTACATAGCTATCAGTCAAAGCATCAAAATTTCTGTTGTTTGAATAACATACTAGCATTAGTAGCAAAAGGATATTCCACAGCTTTCTCCCTCGAGTGGTGGAGTCCAGGAAGGAAAACCGGTGCAGCGGCCGGTTCTAGTAGTACTAGTATGCACCGACCTTCCATTTTGGCTTCTAGTGTTGTGCTGCTTGCTGTCGCGTACGTCGTTCCTCGTCGATTGCGCAGCACCTCGAGATCGGTCGCTGGTTCTGTTTGGGACCGCAAGGCCCGCCGGACATTCTGTTCCGTTCCGGTTTATTGTATTCTATTTTGTTTCGTGACGTTTGGTTGTATTCTATTGTATTCTATTCTGTTCTGTTCTGTTCTGTTCTGTTCCATTCTATTCTGTTTTGCCCTGTTCTATCGTGCCGCAGCGTACGGCCTCTCGACCACGAATCGAACATCGTTTCTGGTGCCCGCAGCGACCCTTGTGGCGGAAGCACATGGCCTTTTGTGCCTCGGCTTTGGTGCGGTGGTTGCATCGTGTTGGCCTTTGTGTTTCTTTCGAATCATTGATTCCTCCTCCGTTCCCTTCCCTTCCGTTTCGTTGCGCTGCGGAAGAACCTCCTCTTCCCCCTTTTGTCCGGGGCAGAACCGGCGTGCGGCCCGCAAACAGGGTGCTTGTTTGTTCCCCCTCGCCTCCGGCGGGATGGGTTCGATCGCTTGCCTCCCCGGCCTCTCGCGGCGATTGTTCCGTGGAACCGCCGCCGGGTGCGCTGCGCTGCGCTGCGCTGCGCTGTGTTGTGTTGTGTTGTCCGGGAGCCATCCCATCCCAAACCAAACCATCCCATTCCATCGCACCGGAATTTGGAACGACGGGGCCGCCCGCCCGTCCCGTTTCTCGCCGCATCGGTGGGCGGCCTCCGGCCCAACAACCCCCGTGGGGGCTCCGAGAGGCCGTGTTGGGCAGGGTGCTGTGCGGTGCTGTGCGACAGAAGAGGATGCGCATTGCATTGCATTGCATTGCATTGCATTGCAGTCACACACTCACTCACTCGTTGCATTCCCTGCTGCCCGCGACGGGTGGTCCGGTGCCGGCATCGCATCGTCTCGTCTCGTTTGGTATCGCATCTTCCCGAGGTGTTCGTCTTCGGTGTCGTCGCTTGTTCCTTGCACGTCTCGTTTCGTTTCGTGTTTTTTCGTATCGATTTGTTGCACGTCTCGTTTCGGTTTCTTGGTGACACCCGGCGCATACCTCCCTACACCGCAGTATGGTACGTACACTCGTATCGTATCGTACGCACCCGCAGTGTTCGATTCGAAATGCGATTCGCTTCGAATGCAATTTGGAGAAGGCGGCGGCTCGTGTAGGCGTGTCCCTGTCCGGGATCCGGTTCGAATTTTTTGGCCGGTGCCGAGTCGTACGGTGGCGTCCCCCATACGATACGATGCGGTGCGGTGGGATGGGCTTGCATGGAGGTTTTCGGTTCGAAAAAATCTTGAACGAACCTCCGGTCCCCCTCCCTGCCTCCGGCACGGGGCGGCACTTGGGCCGTTCCGGACCCCCGCTACGTACGAGTACCGTACTGTACGTACGAGGGGTCACGGCTGCACAATTAACGAGTTGTAGAAACAACGTCGATGGGTGGTTCGATCTTCCGCATCATTTTTCGGCGGGCAAGGGTTCCGTTTCGTGTTCGGCGGTTATTTTTGAGGGTGGTTCCGCACCGCACGACTTACTTTTTGCGCTGGAGGTAGGTTCCGGAACCTACCGTGCAACGTGAGGGTACAAAGATACCATAGTACTGTACGTATTGTGACATAAGTGTTGCCGTTTGCCGTCCTTCGTTGGTAGAATTTGAACACCACTTATGGGGCAAACTGCCAAAATCCAAACGACAATGTCGGGGTTCGGTGGTACGGCACCGCACCGGCCGCCGGGGTTGTGACCGGGGGATCTTTTGTGCGCGCGTTGTTGCGCGATCCGAGTCGTTTGCTGCGGGGATTTTGTCGTTGGTTTGGTCGCTGCCACGGCCTTTTTGTGGAAACGACACGTGGCTGGATCGACAGATGGCAGGGTGCTAACCGGTGGCTTCCCAAAAACCCGTTAGGTTCCGTTATTTCGGGTGCCTATTTTTGGTCGGAGTATACTTTTTGCGTCGACTCCGAGGTTGATCGCGTGGCAGGCTCTAAGTCTTTTTAAATATGTGGCGGCGTTTGAAATTTTGGGAGACCGAACGATTTAAATACAGAAAGATCCATACTGGCCCCCGCCGTTGCCTTTGTACCAAGGTGAACGGCGTGTGTGTTGGCGCCATCCGATGGGATTTGCGCTGATGTGGTGTTGCCCTGCCTTCAACTCCGATGCAAAAATGACCTGCTTCCTATCTTTTCTACGGCAACCCGCATCGTCCGGAGCCGGACGAAAATGCGGGCCACCGGCCGAAGGTCGAGAAATCTGGTGTTCGATTCGAAACTGCGACATCACCGTAGATAGGAATGCATATGCGATATCGACGGAAGAAAGAGCAGTGCACATCACGCTGAGTCCGAAACAAAACCGCCACCGATCCCAATCCAAAACCAATCGCAGCCCTCACAATTTCCAGGCTCACCCTTTTCCGGTTTGTAAATCACATCACGTCCCTATCCAAGACAATCAACTCAGACAGTAGTACGGTTCAGCCAATCCGCACAATACCATACTATACCATACCATACAATTCCATACATACCATTTCCAACCATGATGTCTTGTACCAAATCGTTCGTCTCTTTCGTGCTCTGCCTTTCGTTGCTAGCATCTCCGGTCCTTGCCCGAACCAGCATCGCCACCGGAGGGGGCGCCGGCGGAGGTGCCAGCCGGGACTCTATCAAGAAGGCCACCAATACCGGTAGCTCCTCGAAACCCACCAACAACAGCAGCAGCAGCAACAGCAGCAGCAACAACAACAGCAGCTGGAACAACCGCAACCCGAGCGGAGGGAGCTTCAACAGCAACAACAGCAATAAAAACAACAACAGCAGCAGCAGCAACAACAACAACAACAACAACAACAATAATAACAACAACAACAACGCCGCCGGAGCCATCACCGGCAACGGAAACTACGGGACCCTGGCCAACCGCAACTCCCCCGTCAAGTGTCCCATCTGCCCCAACCAGTGGTTCCAGAACAATCGCATCACCACCGCCGGAACCGCCAAGACCTGCGGGGCCCTCCAGGAGTCCGTCCAGGACGTGGACCCCGGCCAGAACGCCCACACCGCCACCTGGTGCGGCCAGACCCGAGAGATCGCCCTCACCGGCGGCTGCTGCGTCCAGCCATGGCAGCAGTACGTGAGCAAAATCAACGGCCCCTGCGACCTCTGCGGGAGCGCCGGAATCAAGCCCAGCATGATCGGCGGGGAAGCGGTAGACACGAAATACATCGGGGCCCACGAGTGCTCCAGCCTCTCGGCGGCCCTCCAGTCCGGGGTCGTTTCGCAGGACACCTGCACCCTCATCAAGACCGGCAGCGACGTGGTCTCCAAGTGCTGCAACGCCTACGCCATTCAGGGCCGGTCGGCCTCCGTCCCGGAAAAGGAGCCGAGGGCCGCGGGCTTTTTGCGCGGCGCGGCCGGGAACTAAGAAGGGCGCCTGCATTCGAGCGGAGGAGAGCCAAGCCAAGTGCTGTGCTTCCCAACCGGATTGGATGCGATGCGATCCGATCCGGGCAGCGGCCGGCCTGCTCACCAGGAAAGGCCAAGCCAAGCCAAGCCATGCCAAGCCATGCCATATCAAGCGATAAGATGCGATGCGATGCGATGCGAGTCCAGTCCTTGCCAGCGGACCCGAGCCCCAATCGATCGATCGATGGAACCACGCCTGCGAAGTTTGGCGTGCAGGCATTGACCGCGCGGAGACTCGGCCTGCAACGCCGTGCCCTGCCGTGCGGTGCTCTGCAATGCAATGCAATGCAACGCCCGCTGTACATTCGTTCGGAACGTGCAGTGCAAAGCGATGCAATATGTGTGCCTTCCTTTCTTTGCTACCGCGACTGCTATGCGGTACTACGAAGAAATAGCTGTAATTTTTAAGTCGTTGTACGAACGACGACTACTTTTGATCTCAACAGTCCCAACAACCAACTAAGAAAAACACGAAACACTAATCGTTGTAACACTAGAACAAATAACTCAATCACGGAATCAATCCATTGAAAACAACTCTCTCTACATTAGGTACTTTTGTATCTTAGATAGCAGCAGTACAGTAACTCGTACTCTTGGTTTCGGACTGTCACATTCGTGGGAGTATCACAAACACATGTACCGTACCGCAGACCGATCGGAAGCAAACACGGATTCCGAGGGACAACGGCACTTGGAGCACAAGCGCAAGGCAACGCACCGCACCGAACCGGTGTCTCGGACCAGTATTCCTTCTCCCCTCGGTGGGTTCGATCGGGCTGCCTACCTGCCCTGCTCCACACCAAGTACGGTACAGTAATACAATACAGTACAGTTTTGTAGAATTGTACCGTACGGCAACGCACAACTCCAAAAAATCAAACGCGTCACGCCGTTGGGGGATTCGTGCCCGCCTAATCCGCCTGTTTTTTGGATCGCTCCCGGATCGAAGATTTCCTAGCTACCCTTCCCCAACGACCCCTTCCTGCCCGAGGCACGGGCACGCCCGGCGGGCGCTCGGTCCAACCGTGACCCTGCCTCGCACGGTGGGACGCGGAACCGGGGGTGCGGTCCGGGACCCTCTCACGCAGCGTCCCTACCAGGTTCCTGCGGACGAGCCCCCAAAACTACGACCGCGCCGGCGCTTGCCGCCCGCGTTTGGCGCGCACCCTAACCGGGAATCCCGTGTGTGCCGCGCCGGCAGATCCTGCCGGGGATTGAGTTCTGGGACCACGCGCCGCGGTGGCCGTTGGCGACCTTCTGCAACGACAAAACAACGGCCTTGCACATACTCGGTTGGACTGGAGCCGAATTCCGCGCGTCACAAAAAATGAGGGGGCCGGCAGGTATGTTGCTGTACGTACGGTACTGGTTTCTATCGTACTGGCGCTCGAACGGCAGAATCTTGGAATGCGGTATGCAAGCCAACTTCAATACCTTGTTGAAAAAAATTCAACTCGCTCTACCTTTCGATAAGCCCTTATGAGTACGTATCTACCATGTCACAGAAAGAAAGAAACCGTTCCCAGAGGTTCGAAGGAAGCGACCACCATTGCGTAGTACGATTACTGGTGCGTACGTACTACGCAAGTCGAACCGAATCATTCGGAGTAGTACCGTATCGTACCGTACCGTACCATACCTACACTAAATCCTGAATGCACATGTATGGGTGACCGAAAGGGAACCGTACGAACGGAGAAGACAAAGAGTCGTTGGTCGAACTACCTCCGGCAGGTGCGCCGCAATGGTTTGCGTTGGTCGGAGACGACGAGGGTCCACTTTGCCACAGCTCGGCAAGCACAACTTCAACCGGACCCAACTCCCGGTTCGTCCGAGGAAACGAACCAACGAACCAACCAACCAACCAACAGCAGGCTCGGCTCGGCTCCGCTAGGGCCATGCCGGGCCGGTCAACGAACAACGCCATCTGCTTTCCGGACGGCAAACCAACCAACCAACGAACCAACCAACCAGCCAGCTAGCTAGCCAAGCAATCCACCAACCGACACACGGCGGGGCCGTGGTCCCCCGCCGTTTCGTTACGTTTTGGTTGGTTCGCACCGGCAACCCCGGGCCCGAGCGAGACCGCACGCGGCTGCCGCAACCCCAGGGGTGGGGTCGTTGCAGACCGTGGTTCGAAGGCACCGGAAGACACCCCGCTGGGAACGAAATAACGAACGAACGGAATAACGAACGAACCATCCCTTTCTTCGACCCGCGGTGTGTTGTTGCGACCGTTTTTGGGTTCTGTCTCGATCGGGATTGCCTTGTGCACTCTTCGATCGGGATTTCACTCTGAACCGTATCGATGGGGTGTGCGGCAGTCCGATGCATTCCAAAGAACACCGCTGCGTGCAACCGCACGGCGCTCGGTTCGCCCCGTTGTGTTGTGTCGCGTTGTGTTGCGTTGTGTTGCGTTGTTTTGCGTCGCGTCGTGTACCGCCCACAACAGCAAGCAGCACGCAACGCCGCTGCGAACACAGCGCGGCCGCTATGCGGTAGGTTCTGCGAAACACCAACAGCATCTAGTGCTGGTGTTAGTGTTGGTGATAGTGACAGTGCTAGTGCTAGTTCTGGTGCTAGTGCCAGGGGTTGTATCCCGTTGAAAAACAAAGTAGCACGTGTCTCGTTGTTCTATTGTTAGCACGCCACTGCTGATAAAAGCCGGTAGCGGCAACTACTGTTCTATTTTGGATGCCATATCTTCTCCTGCGTTGTGTGCAAAGGATTGCTGATTTGCTCATCGTATAGCTATGGTAGGAATGCGCTTGATGACACTCTAGTTTCCTAGTAGTACTACAGTACCAGCGACAAGTTTGCTTGTTCTTCCTGTAGTTGTTTTACATCCGATGAAACTTCCCAACCGACAACCTCGGTTTCGAAGACAAGGAGGACAGTGCTTTGCATTCAGGAGAAACAATCTCCAAAACCAATGAAAAAGGGCACTTTGTTCTGGACAACACCCCTGTAAATTGTTGTCGTTGTTGCCTGGTGTTGGTACAACTCCTTTCACGATGCCTCTTCGTCTTGTTTCGACACCAGCAGCAGACTAGTATCTGCCTCTTCTTATTTCTTCTCAAGAGGAGGATGAGTACAGTGCTGGTAGTAGTATGTTTGCCTCTCTCTTGAATTCTGTTTTTGCATGTACTTCATCGAATACTTGTTGTAGTAGGTGGTAGGAGCACTGCTTCTTGTAATATTGAAGTACGATTAATACTTGCCAATACTATTAGTAGTAATACTAGCTATACTACTACCGGTAGTTGTACAACCAACGCCTTCTTCCCATACGTTCGATCATGTCCATTAAAACTACTTCTGTACTTCGTCATCTTCTGGCAAAAAATTGCTCAAATGTTGCATGCAGTGTCGTCTGTTTCAGTCGTGTGTCTCAAAAAAAGAGGCACGAGTACTCCACCATGTACAGAGAGATACGTAAAGTACTGTAAGAAACGGGAACATCGGGTGCGGCCTGGAACAAGAGCGAACCCGGGGAGAGGAATCTCCATCGATCTGGCCTTGTTGAGCCCCCAAACTCTTCGAGGTGTGTCTATCGCGAATTAATACCCGCCGTTTGGACTAGGAAACAACGTGCGTAACGAGACACATCATCCCTGTCACCTGTTCGCCGGAGACGACGTAAGGACGCCCACCACCAATTAGAAACAAGAAAGATGTGCATGGTGGCTCATCGTAGAAAATCTACGCAGTTCGAGCCTGTCACCACCTCTCTGTGCATCTCGAATTCGTACGGCAAGGCTCGTAGGGTAGTACGTTTTGGTTCTTTCCCACCGGCCAATGATCCCGTGCTACATGACATAGGCCACCATTGGTCCACTGTAGGAATCGTACTAGGTGATGGAATTGGTTTTCAGAATTTCGGGGTGTTGGAATTGAATACACAAATAAAAAGAAGTACCACCGCTAATGTTGTCTGTCAGTGACTGCTTTGTGTTTTGTGTATTTTGTGTACTGTACCGTACGGTAGTGTGCGGGATGATCGTGCGAACTACAAGTAATTAAAAAAAATAGTGCGGTATACATGCAATTTTACTCGTACTTCTACCGTTACGAACCTGTTCGAACGCTGACAGGGACGTACTAGCTGGTACGCTATGACGGCTTTCTGCAGCCTTTCGATTCTGTGTCACACTCCTGTGAAAATTATTGCTCGGAAACCGCGTGAACTGCAACACAACTTACATCAAAGCTCACGACTTTCACAGCATCCCATATCAATACTCGGGTACTGCACAGGTCGATTGCCTTGATATATTTCGACTCAATCGCAGTTGTCCTTCAAAGGAGGGATTGGAATTCTACCGGATTGGACTGAATTCGATTCGTTCCGAATAATATTCAACACGTGTCGTATATCGCTGGTTGCTAGCGGGAATCAATTCATCGATCGGTCAATCGGTCATTCAATTAGCATCGCAAACAGAACCGCCCTTGCCAAACGACAAACCACCGGCACAGCTTTCTCGCAGCACATCAAACTAGTTCTGCAACCACAACCGCAACCATGTGCAAGGAAACACAGAACGTCGTCGAGGTGAAGGACGACGAGAGCGCCCCGGGAAAAAACATTACGATGGAAAACGAGAACGAGATCGAGATCACGAACGATCCGGCAACCACGGACTCTGCCAACGACAAAGACAAAGAAAAATCCCAGCCGGAACATTTTCCCTGGTGGAAGGGAGGCGGGAAAATCGCCTACAGCGGCAAGGATCTCGGCGTCCTGGAGAAATCCCTGGAGGACCGAGCGAGCTGCTTCGAGCTCTGGTGGATGTCCTATCTCAACCCGCTGCTGAGCCTGGGATCCCGCAAGGTCCTCGATGCCAGCGACGTCGGCGTTCCCTCGGAGCAGGACCGGGCCGAGCGTGCCTACATGGGCGCGAAGAAGGCCTGGGACGAGCAGGTCGAGGCCTGCCGGATCAAAAACGAGCCGCTGCTGCAGAAGAAAAAGGAGCAGGAGGCGCTGCTCCAGCAGCAGAAGGAATCCGGGGAAGAAAACCCCCAAAACGCACCCAAGCCCATTACGCTCAAGGAGCCCTCGATCACCATGTCGCTCATCTACAGCTTTGGAATCGGGAGGTTTGTTATGGCCATCATTTACCAGATCCTCTCCTCCCTGCTGGGATTCGTCCCCGTCTTGATCCTCAACGATCTGGTTCGCTACTTTGAGTCGTTCGGCTACAACCAGCTGGTGGCGGAGTCGGGCGCCGAGGACGTGGCACTCGTCAGCTACCAGCCGCTCTTCAATCCGTGGCTCCAGGTCGTCGGCCTTGGGATCATCCCGCTGGTGGTGTCGCTGCTGCAGACCCGGCACAACGCCATCATGTGCCACTGCGGAGTCTTTGTCCGAACGGCCGTCTCGACCATGCTCTACCGGAAGGCCCTGACCGTCTCGGCCGCGGGGCGGGCCATGACCTCGACGGGGCAGGTCGTCAACATGATGTCCAACGACACGATGCAGCTCCAGCGGTTTCTGACCTTTGCCGGCTTCACCGCGATCGCTCCCATCCAGATCATCATTTCCCTGGCACTCATCTACAAGCAGGTCGGGAGCGCCATGTGGGTCGGTGTGGCCTACATGATCTTTTTGATGCCCATCAACATGTGGGTCTTTTCGGTAGTGGGAAAGATGCGCCGCAAGGTCCTCAAGCACTCCGATTCCCGCGTCAAGATGATGAACGAGATCCTCACCGGGATTCGCATCATCAAGTTCTACGCCTGGGAGCGGCCCTTTGGAAAAGAGGTCGAGCGCGTCCGGGCCAAGGAAATGGACGCCCTCACGAAGATGTCCTACGTGGTAGCCGTCGGGTTTTCCATCATTCTGCTCTCGACGCCCATCGTCCAGCCCATCTTTGTCTTTCTGACCTACGTCAACATTCAAGACGAGCCACTGACGGCGGCCACGGCCTTTACCACCGTGGCCCTCTTCAACCTCATGCGCTTCCCCTTTGCTTTTATGCCCATGGGGCTGCTGCAGTTCATCCAGTCGAGGATCTCCCTCAAGCGGCTGGAGCGCTACCTGGCCTTGCCCGAGCTCAACCCGTACGTGGTCGACGATCCACCGTCGAAAGACGACGCGGAGGAACCCCTGGCGAAATCCATCACGGGGGAGGTGAGCCTTTCGGACATGGACCAGTCGGGAAGCATTACCATCCTGGATGGTTCCTTCGGGTGGGTCAACCCCGACGGCCCCGCCATCAAGCCCGTCCAGGAGGAGCAGCGTTCCAAGAAGAAGGAAAAGGCCGAGCGCGCCCAAAGACGGGCCTCCAAGCGGGCCAGTCGCTCCCGCAAGTCCGATGCCACCGCCGAGAGCAGTGTCGATGCGATCCAGTCCAACCTCGAGTCGATGAGCGCCTCGAGCGCCACCACCGACGAGAGCGGGGCCGAAAAGGCTCCCGTGATTGCCCTCCAGAACGTGACCACCTATATCCGGCCCGGGAGCCTTGTGGCGGTCGTCGGTTCCGTGGGGTCCGGAAAATCGAGCCTGCTCTCGGCGATTCTCGGAGAGATGGAGAGCATCGGCGACTCGAAGGTCCACGTGCCCCGAACGGAGGAAGAGAAGGACATGGACGGCTTTGCCTCGTACTGCACGCAGTCCCCGTGGGTGGTGAACGATACGCTGCAGGGAAACATTTTGTTTGGCCGCGAGTACGACGAAACGCGGTACCAAGAAATCCTCCACGCCTGCGCCCTCCTGGACGACATTGCGGTGCTGCCGGCGGGGGACCAAACCGAAATCGGTGCGTTGCGTTGCGTTGCTTGGATACCATCTGTTGATTTGCGTGCGGGTCTCTTGCTTCGCTCCATTTTGCTAGTGCACGTTGTTTTCGACCCAGCCCAAAAACTCTAGTTCTCACGCTTGTTTTGTTCTTTCGCTTCGGCCGCTCTCGAATCACGATTGGTTGGTTTTGGTGTTTCCAGGAGAACGCGGCATCAACCTTTCCGGAGGACAAAAGGCACGTGTGTCTCTGGCACGAGCGATGTATTCCAGAAAGACCCGGCTCTTGCTCATGGACGATCCCCTCTCCGCCGTGGATTCGCACGTTGGGGAGCACTTGTTTTCTAACGCCATTGCCGGAGACATCGGGAAGGGAAGGACCCGTATCCTCGTGACGCACCACGTCCACGTTCTCTCGCGGTGCGATTCCGTGATTGTCATGGACTCCGGAACCATCAAGCACCAGGGTGCCTACCAGGACCTCCTCGACCAAGGAGTGGACTTTGCGGGGGCCGTGGATGTTTCCAAGATCAAAAAGAGCGAGGAAGAGGGGGGGGACGCGACCGATGAATCGAATTCGAAAATCGACAAGAAGGAAAAGAAATCCTCGAGGCAAGAAGACGAGGCGGCGCAGAAGAAAGCGGGTGCCAATCTCGTCCGGCAGGAAGAACGAGAAAAGGGCGACGTTGCGATCGATGCCTATGTGCAATACATGAAGGCGGGTGGCTACTGCGTTGCCGTTCTCACCATTTTCATCCAGGGTGTCGGGCGTGCGTTCGAAATTCTGTCGACCTTCTGGCTCGCCCTGTGGGCCGACAGGATGCAGAAAGCCGAAGAGCTCGGTCAACCGTTCACGAAGCAAGAAACCTCCTACTACGTCGGGATTTTTGGTCTCCTCGGGTTCCTGTCGATTCTCGGTCTCGGGTTTCGCGGCATCTTCTTGGCGATGCATCGATTGAAGGCCTCGCAGAAGCTGCACGACGGCCTCACGGACGCCGTTCTGCGTGCCCCAGTTTCCTTCTTTGACGTAACCCCCATCGGTCGTGTGCTCAATCGTTTCGCCGCCGACATGGACAAGATCGATCTAGAGCTGACCCAGACCGTTTCACAGGGAATCAACACGATTTTTCAGGTACTCGGTGCACTCGGAGCGATTCTGGTGGCGACGAAGGGAACCTTCATCGTGCCACTAATTCCCCTCAGTTTCTTGTACTACCTGGTCCAGAAGTGGTTCCGAAAAACGTCCACCGAGCTCCAGCGTATTACCAACATTGCCAATTCCCCGATCTTTGCCGACTTTTCTCAGACCCTGTCGGGAACGTCTTCCATCCGTGCCTTTGGTGTGCAGAAGGGATTCTTCAACAAGTGCAAGCAATCCTTTGACAACATGAACTCGTCCTACATTCTGGTGCAGCTTGCGTCGTCATGGCTGGCACTCCGGTTGGACGTCATGGGAGGCATCATCGGGATGTTCATCGGAGCAATCGCGGTGGGAACGCTCGAAACGAATTTCATGCCCGCCGGATGGCTCGGCCTCGCACTTTCATACTCGATTGAGGTAACTTCCTATCTGAAGTACGGGGTGCAGATGGTCGCCCGGCTGGAAGCCGACATGAGTTCCGTGGAGCGCATCCTGTACTACACCGACAATATCGAGCCCGAAGCGCCGGACGTCATCCCGGAGAAGGATCCCAGGGAAGGGGACTGGCCGCTGAAGGGCGAGATTGAGCTGTCGCACGCGTCGATGCGGTACAGAGACGGCCCGCTGGTCCTGAAGGGCCTCAGCTTTACCGTGAAGGGGGGCGAAAAGATTGGCGTTTGCGGCCGGACGGGAAGCGGAAAGAGCAGCCTCATGATTGCCCTGTTCCGGATCTCGGAGATCGAGAAGGACGGCTCGATTTCGGTTGATGGCGTAAACATTGGAGAAATCGGAACGGCGGCCCTGAGAATGAACATCTCGATCATCCCGCAGGACCCCGTCATGTTTTCGAACACGATCCGATACAACCTCGATCCCTTTGCCACGAAATCCGACGAGGAACTTTGGGACGTCCTGAAGAAGGTGGAGATGGGCGAGGCGATCGCTCAGCTCCCCAAGGGCCTCGACGACATGGTGGCCGAGGGCGGCGAGAACTTTTCCCAGGGCCAGAGGCAGCTGCTGTGCATCGCGCGGTCGCTCCTCCGCAAGCCGAAGATCCTTGTGATGGACGAGGCGACGGCGAGCATCGACAACGAGACGGACGCGAACATCCAGAGAATGATCCGGGAGAACTTTAAGGACGCAACGGTCCTGACGATTGCCCATCGATTGAACACGATCATGGACAGCGACAGGGTATTGGTCCTGGACGACGGGCACATTGCGGAACTCGACACCCCCGAGAATCTGCTGGCGAAGGAGTCGGGTCACTTCAAGGCGATGGTCGAGAAGAGCCGGGAGGCCCACAGCGACGTGATCGAGGACCTGTAAGCGAGAACGAGGGGCGCTGGTCGCGTTGCGTGTTGGTTTTTGTTCCGTGGGAGCGCAGACGCAAGCTGTCACGCTGCCTGCACTGCTCGCACAAAGCCACACACAATGGAACGCCCTCCTAGCTGCGTTTTTGACGTCGACGCGCACCCATTTCGGGTCCACGAATCTAGTATGTATCCCCTATAAGGCACTAAAAAGTTATAAATAAAGTAAACGAAGTTATAGTATCTATATTTCACATCACGGACGCGTCGGTCGAATCGTAGACGACGGCAGTCTTTGTCGATCCACTGGGTTGTGCGTTTTGTGCATTGGCACACGAAAGGTTTGGTTTTTGTAGGGACAGGAAGGATCTTTTCGATGCAGCAGAACGAAGGGAGGGAGGAAGGACGGAACACCCTGCGCGACCGACAGACCCAACGAGGGCGAGCGCATCCGAGGGCAAAACAGCCCATCCTTCACGCACAAGGTGGGATCGATCGTTCGTGGTTTGTCTCGCGAAGCCGCAAAGACCGTCGGATGCAATGGTGTTTGACACCTTTGTTCCCGTTTTGCGGTTCAATCCAATCCGATCCGATCCGAACCAGACGGGATTGAGGGTGTCATTAAGACCGCGTGCGTGGTGTCAGTGGAGGGCGAGGGAAAAACCAAAACCACCGTTCGCACGGGCGCGGAATACCGTGTTTTTAGAAACAGGGGTGACACCCCCGCGACACCCTGTTTCTGTTTCGAGGGATGGGGTGCGTCTTTCCGTGAGCGGGGAACGGGGGGTGTTCCTTGGTGTTCGTCGCCGTACGCGCGACGTAGTCTTGCCAACTATCCCCGCGTTCCGATGGCGAAACAATCCGGGATAAGAACCGGCAAAGTTCTCGCCCGGCTTGGAGAATTTCGCATCGAAACGAACCGTCGTCACCCGTCATTGGGGTGTTCGGCGCACCGTTGGGAGCAATCAGGTCGGTTCTACAGCGCTATTTATTCTTTTTTGTTTATGCTGCCCCAGGGGTGTCCGTGACTGATGGACCAATGAACGGGCCTTCCACGCGGTGTCTGCGCCCAAGCATGCGCATTTTCGCAGCGGAGGCATAGGTCAAGAACTGTCATCGCAGAAGGGAAGTGACGGTTCGGACGGCAACGGAGTGTGATTCGAAGGTTCGGTGGAACGCGGTTCGACGAAAATCCCGTCGTTGCCCGCAGAGAAACGAGTTGCATGGGCATTATGGGTACGCGTATGCAGCCAATACCGTACTTCATTGGTCACACACGCATCTGTCGTTTTGTCGAAGACGACGACGACGACGACAAGGACGGGGACTCGTAGGCACATACCTCGCAAGGATAAAAAGACACGGAACTTTCTTTGGCCAATTCCTTTTGTTCCACCCAGTTGGAACCGGCGTGACCACCTGACACTCTCTTTGCTTTTGTCTCTGCGTGGGATCTCCTTTTCGTTCCTCATACGATCGTTTGTTCGTTTGATGTCGACTCGGATTCCTTCCACTCTGCATCTCTGAACCGCACAAAACCTCTTGCGGCGTTCCACGGAACAAATACCCCCAACGACAAGGACAACGAAAAGGACAAGAACAGACACTACCACACGCGCCGATCTTGCTATCGGTGTCCGAATCTTCATCTACATCTTCATCCGCAGGCGTCTAGTCTTCGTGGATCGATCACTTGTTCGATCGATTGACAAATAGGTTCATCGAGCTCGCGCCCGAATCAAGTTCGAATTCGTCGCATCGACACAAGAGCGCTTGATCCATCTCGATCTCGATCCAAATCACGATCCCGATCCAAATCACGATCCCATCTCCCGCTCCGACAAGCATGGACTTTGTGGGATCTTCGGTGGCAGAGGGGAGCCTCGCCGCCGCCCTCGGGAACGCCCTGGTGGTGGCCCTTGCCGACCTCCTGGACGACGGCACGGGGGCCTCGGACCGCAAGGACGCCGTTGTTTCCTTCTCCGGGGAACGCCGGGGGGACTGCCTCGGAGAGGCGGCGGCCTCCTCCCTGCGGACCATCGTCGAGTGCGCCACCATGAAGACGGACAACACGACGGCGGCATCGGTATCCGCACCGCCCTTCGAAGATTCTCCTTTGCTGCCCCCTTGCGCGGGCGAAACCGGGGAAAGGGTCCCTCCCGCACCCACCGGTTCCTACCGGTGCCACCGCGGGCGAAAGCAACCCCGGGAGAAAGACAATCACGGGTCGGCGGAGGAAAAAGAGGAAGCGCCCAGCCCCGGAGCCGGTGTGGGCGTCCGCGTGAGCCTGGGTCTTCCGGGCGGGCACGAGAAGGAGCCGGGCGAATCCAAGGACGACGGAACCCAGAGCACCGCGAGCACCACTGGAAGCACCAGCACTACCAACAGCATCTGCAGCACCACAGGACCCCGGGCAAACCAGGGAAGCAGCCGCGGCTTTCTGTGCGGCACCCTTTCCCTCCACGACGACGAAATGCCTCCCGCCACCGATTGGTCCCCCCCGTCCGCTTTCTGGTGCGGGGGGGTTCCAGCCGTGCTCACCTACGAAAGCGGGCTCCGAGACGAACGCCAAGACGAAGGCACGGGCAAGGACACGGACCACGAGCGTGCCGTCGAAGCGCCGCCGCCGCTGCGGATGGGAGACTGCCTGCCCTTCTTCGCGAGCTGCGGCCCGCAGCACCAGTTTGCCTTTGACGACGAGGACGAAAACGACGGCGACGACCACAAACACGAGGATGCAGCGGCTTCGAGAAGGCCCGGCCTTCCGGCCCCCGGGCGGGCAGTTGTGGAAGACGACGCGGGGACCACCGCTACCGCAGGCAGCGCCACGACGGGGGCCTCCTCCTCCCTCCACTCCTTTCTGGTGGTCGACCATCCCCACCCGCTCCCGTCCCCTTCCGGTGCCACCGTGGGAGCCCACCGGGGGCGTTCTTTTTCCGCCACAGCCGACGAGACCTTCCACCGGAGGCAGCGGCCCCTGCACAGGTGGATGGCCCCCGGCAGCGACAGTGAGAGCGACTCGCCTCGGGAGGGCCACCGCCGACGCTCCCAGACCCCCGACCCCCCCTCCGACCGCGCCCTGGTCCACTGGATCATGAGGGGCCTCAAGCCGCACCTGCCCTACAGCAAAAAAGAGGATTCCTTCTTTCTGGGATACAGCCTGCTCCGGGACGGCGCCTCGCTGGACCGGCTCCTGGACGCGGTGGGAGAAAGCCAATGCGGTGCCAACTGCTCCTCGGTCCTCGCGGTCGAGACCACGAAAGGGGAGGTCTTTGGGGCCTTTCTCACGGAGCCCTGGAAGCGGTCGGGCAAACGGTGGTTCGGGGGCGGACAGAGCTTTCTGTGGACGACCTGCGAGACGGGGGTGGGGGAAAGGCCGACGAGGGACCGAGGGAAAAACCGCACTCTTGGGCGGAGGAACCGGGTACCACCAACGACGACGACGCCCGGGCAGCAGCAGCAGCAGCACCACCTCGAGGTCTTTCCCTATTCCTTTGCCAATCCCTTCGTCCAGCTCTGCGACGGGGACCGCCTCCTGGTGGGGAGCGGGGAGGACGGCTTCGGCCTGGCCCTCGAGGGGGATCTCACCCGGGGGAGCACCTCGGCCTGCGAAACCTTTGCGAGCCCCCCCCTCTCGAGGGCCCACAGAGACGGGTTGGCCTTTGGGATCCGGGCCCTTGAGGTGTGGACCCTAGCCGCCGCTCTCCCGTTCCTTTCTCCCCTGCAGCAGGGGGAGGGGGTCACGCGGGTCCGCGGAAGGAGCCCGGGAGTGACACCCGGTCGCAACAAGGCGGCAACGGCGACCGAGCCGCCCTCTCCCTCCGCCCGCCCACCACAAAACCCACCTTGCCACCGCAACACGAACCGCACCCGGCACGGCTCCGCCGAGGCGTGAACCCTCTGGTGAAGCCGTGCCATGGCTCGTGGGAACGAACCGATAAATCACTTTTTTACACTGCGCAACGACATTCTTTCCTATAACTACTAAATCTGCCTTAATTTCTATACTACTACCTACGATGCGTCGCAGTAGAGCACAGATTGTCTCCAGCGAGAACCAAACATAGTACATGATCGATTCCAGAAGCACTTAGGAACAGAATGCGCATTCGAAGCAGCAACAAAACATCGTACCGGACCAGGTGGACCCGGGAAAGCAGGCATCCGTCGACGAAGACGGGTGCATCGCAGGCGAAAACTCGATGCGATTCATTCCATTCGATGATGCCGGCTACCACAACTACCTGGTTCGGTCCCTTCCCACCGCGTCCGTGCCCGTGCGGAACCCAACGGGTCACCCCTCCCCTCCCGCTTCCGCCTCGCGGGACCGCTCGGCCAGGAGCACCAGGAGGACGGCCGCGTCGAGGCCGGCGTAGCCCAGCTGGGCCTCCGAGAGGGGGCGTCTCCCCCAGTCGGAGCACTGGTGGTCCTTGGAGAGCGGGGTGTCCGAGTACCGGGCCGCGCAGGACCTGAGGCCCGGGAGCTGGGAGCGGGGTTTTCTCTGGGTGGCCGATCCGCCGCCGGTCGAACGAACGGCCGCCGCCATGGCGGCCTGCAGGTCGAGCAGCCGGGGGGAAACGATGGAGCTTGGCTTGTCGGTGTGGGTCCCGCTGGGAGCTGCTGCTACTGCTGTCGTTGCTGCTGTCACCGCCGGTGCTGCCAATGGTCGTCCGTGCCCTCCGCTCTTTTTGTCAAGGAATGCTTCCAGGTAGTGCAAATCGTGCTTGATCGCAAATCCCAGAACCAGCGGTCCGGCATCTTCATCCGCGCCATCGCCGTCCAAACCCAGCAAATTTCCCACCAGCCGCTTCGCTAGGCAACGGTACTCGTCTTCGTCTTCGTTGTCGATGCAATGGTCCGCCGCGCAAGACTCCTCTGCCTTCTTGAGATCGACGACGTAGTTCGCTAGCACGGGAGTCCGTGGGTCCGCGCCGCCGCCCCCGTCCCCCGCCACAAAGGACAGCTGGAGGATCGACAGGGCGGTCCGCGGTCCGCCTGTTCCGCTTGTTCCGGGCGCGTACCACTCGGTATCGATGGCCACCAGCCTCGCCGCCTCTACCCTTGCCAGGAGGTCCTCGAGCGGGGCGGGGGAGTCCACAAACACCGGAGGCTCCGGGAGCGACAGAACCGGAGGCGGCGGCGGCGACGCGAGGCACCCTTCGGGTTCGGGGGGTGGTGCCTGCCGGGGTTCGAGCACCGACACGGAGAGATCCCTGACCACGGCGCGCGCCGTCGCCCAGTGGAACGACGAAAAGAGAAAAACGCCTTGGTCGTGGTCGCTGTCTTGTTCGGTTTTGGTTTTGGTTGGGTCGTCTTCGCTGCGGGTTTCCCGCGCTCGGTTGCCCCCACCGGTGGGTTGAAGGACCCCCCCCGGCCCCAGCCGGCCCCGTATTTTATGGAGGAGCTTTTGCTGCCGTTTCGTGGCCGCCGGATCTCGGATCGCCCCCTCCAAGAGGCCGATCGTTTGTTCGGATCCGAAGAGTTCTTTCAGTTTGGCGGCGGTGGTTGGGATCCATGGAAGGCGCTGCCGGTCGCTCAGCCGGACTATCCGCAGCAGCTGCGACGACAACGAGGGCGTTGTTGTCGTTGTCGTTGTCGTTGTCGTTGTCGTTGTCGTTGTTGTTGATGGTGGTGTCGTCGTCGTCGTCGTTGTCTCTGTTGGTGGTGACAGCCGTTCTTGTTCCTGTTCCTCTTCCTCTTCGGTGGTGGTGCCGGCGGCCGGCTCTTCCGGCGACGCCGCTCTCGCCACCAGCGACCCCCAGGCCCGGTCCAGCTCCTCCCGCTCCCCCGGCGGGAGGCCCGCCGGAACCCCCGCGGCCCGGCCCCTTGCCTTTGCTTTGGCGTTTGCCTTGGCTCTTGGCTTCTTCTCGCAGTTCCTGTTGAAGGGCCGGGAGGCCGCCCCTGGGTTCCGCTTCAGAAAGCCCCCCTTGCGGGTCTCCCGGGTGGTCGGGTTGATGGCCAGGGTGGTCACCACGTCGGTTTCCGAGAGGGGCCGGTCGGCAAAGAAGCGGGGGTCCAGGTCCCCGTACTCGAAGCCGTCCGAGTGGGAGGCCCGAAAGTTCCACCAGTCTCCCTGGGCGCGCTCGAGCGTTTGGATGGTCCGGACGATCCTCGCCCCCGCGTTGCTCTCGCTCTCGTCGTTGTTGTCGTTGTCGCCGCCGCCGCCGCCGCCAGAGGGAAAGTGGGTGGCCGCCATGCTGAGGACCGACTGGCCCTTGTTGTTGACAATGGTCACCTTGGCCCCCCTCTCCAGCAGGTACTCCGTCACGACGATCCGGCTCTGCGTGAGGGCAAAGAAGATGGCCGTCTTGCCGTAGCTGAACTCCTGCCTGGAGTAGGCGTCGATGTCGCAGCCCACTTTCTCCAACAGGTACCGGACGTTGTCGAGGCAGCCCTTCCAGGCGGCCATGTGCAGGGCGCTCTTGGAGGCGTGCTGCCTCTGGCGCTGCCTGCCCTTGGAGTGGTTGTAGGCGTCGTTGTCGTCGATGTCCCGGGCCTTCCACTCCCCGGCGGAGATTTCCTCCTTCAACCGGGCGAGGGACTGCGAGGCGGCGGCCTTTCGGAGCCTGGAGTAGTCGCGGGTGGGCGGCGGTGGAAGGGAAGAGGAAGACCCGTCCAGCGATCCGTCCGGGGGAACCAGCGGTCCGTCCTCTGCCGTTGCCGTTGCCGTTGCCGTTGCGGTTGCCGTTGCCATTGCCATTGCCGTTGCCATTGCCGTTCCCGTAGCTGCTCCGGAATCGGTCATGTCCTTGGCTGCCCAGAATGCGTTTCGAAAGCTATTTATTGGTTCGGTGAGTTGTTTCCATTGCGTTGTTGCAGTACTGTATTACTGTATTGTTTAGTCAGTGATATTGATGGTTCATGCGTGATGGGTGATGCGTGATGGGTGATGGGTGATGTTACACTTGACACTCCTCGTTCTGCCAAGAAGATACGGCGGTGGTGGATGTGAACATTATCGTTTTCCACGAGTCGATGTGTTGTTGTGCCGATGGCAAGAAAATCAAATCAAAAATCGTCATTATGGATGGTGTTAGCTGACGATTCGTGATTCGTGACTCACCGACTCGATGCATGTTTCGGACAAAATCGCCAACGACCCATGCAACGGCGTTGCGTGGTACTATTCGTATTGTCGCATCGCATCGTACAGTATTGTACCGTACGAACTCGTTCTGTGCTGTAAGCTTCGCAGAGACACCCGGTTGGTCGGAGTCGAGGGGCGAAGATCGATCGATCGATTCATCGAGTCGTGACAACGCATCTTTCCCCGTACGGTACGTACGTTACTGTACGCAGGGGGTGACAACCACGAAGAGCGACATCACTCACCGGTCGCGATTTCGAAACGAACATCGTTGCGTTTTTCCGAAGAAAAAATCTCGATGGGAGCGAAAACAAAACCATCCGTCACGCCGACGCCGGCTTGGGACGGTGCCATAGAATCCGAATCCATCCGTTTGCAACCACCCAACAGAACAGGACGGGACAGAACGGGACAGAACGGGACACCCAAGCAGGGCACTATATTCCACGACAAGCACAGCATTGTTTCGCTTCGCGTCGATCCGAGAACAGAACCATGGCGTTTGCAAGAGCAACCGCAGCAGCAGCAGCAACCGCCACCGGGGCCGCCAGGTCCGTGCTCACCGCTTCGCGTGGCCGTCTCGTTGGCAGGCCCCCGATGCAGGGCATCGCGGGTGCCGCGGCCTGGAGCCGAGAATCCGCGATCGACGTTCTCTCCGGTGTGAGTAAGAAGCATGCCGAGAGATGTTATAAGACGCACCGTCGTGGGAGTGGTGCCGCGGGAACAAACCCTCGTGTGTAGTACCCGATGGCGTTGTTCCCGGAAAGAGTACGACAACCAAGACCTTTGCTTGGAAACCACCACACCAACCCATTCGTTTGCTTTTGCTTTTGCTTGTGCGTTTGCTTTTTCCTTTTTGCTTTTTCCTTTTTTTGGTTCTCCTGCACACCAGGACGAGCGGCTACGAAACGACTTTGCTTATGCTCTGTCCATGGCATCGCCGTCCCTGCACGATGGCTGCGGCACGGGCGGGAACAGCTCTGTCTTTCTGAGCCAACGCCAGAGAGAACAACTTGCCATCAGCAAGGACCAGCTCCGATAAAAACAGAAGGGAAGAGAAGAGAAGAGAACGGAGGCGACAACAAACTCCAAACACCAAGCGGAGAATTGAAATCGCGAAGAGAACAAAGAACACGGCACCGAGACATAGAAAGAGCATCGAACGATCGACAAGATGGGGTACGTAGATCCGATGCATTAAACACCGAGAGAAGAAAGGATTGTCCACCCTTGTGCCCAGTAGAACATTGAATATAGATACATAGATTTACAACCACTAGCAATGACTGTAACCCGCCCTGCTGCTTGTTAAATGACCATCGTTCTTGCCGACAGGAGGTCGAATCGCTGGGTGGCAATTTCGTGACGAACGAGTAGTGCTCCATCGGACAAGGCGTTTTTCGCGGCAAAAAAATCCTCTCTTGTTTCGTGTCGGAGGCCTGCCCGGGAGGGTCGCCGCTGCACCGGTATCGATCGATCAGCAGCAGATTGTTGCTGGTTTTGCGTATGCTGTAGTATGGGGCTGGGCTACTCGTACTGTTCTTCGAGTGTAGGTCATTCTATGCTTGAATGCAACGACAAAAATTGAAAGGTCGTGTATGGAGTGCGACTAGTAGTACTAGTGGGAACTTGTAGCGGAGAGTGAGTACTGTATGAGGAAATTCAAGCCAAACAATAAGGAGAGGAGTAGTGTTGGATGTCAAAGGCCGCACCAGTATTCGTATTAGCACTAGTAGTAGTACTAGTAGTATCACTGCTCTTTTATTCATTCATAGTACTACTAGTAGTACAAGAATGATGACCTTTGAGTAGGATTCAGCGATTTCAAATGTCTGACGATAGTGATAGTACTACTACTACTAAATCTAAATTGTTGGATAAAGTAAAGGGATTGGAATGAGTCACGAATAATCAGTCGTATTGTAATTGTAACATGGAAAGTAAGCATCGAGGAAATGCGTCATCGGCAGATGACAAAACAACCACTAGTTGTTCGCACCAAAATCCATTTCCACCTTTCCCCATTCGACAGGAACCCGCAGCAACCGGACGAACCGTCACCGTTTTCGCATTCATTGTCCAATCCAGGGTCATCCAACGACCGTTGCCCCGAGTTATTCGGCCATACCGAAACGCAAAAACATGGCGGCCCGACCATCAGCGCTTCGGAGGCGAAGCAAGGGAACGCGCCACGGCGAGCCGACAGTCCTTCTGCTAGCCGCGACCACGATCCTGGCGGTTTCTTCGCCCCGGTCTTCTTTGCTTTCTCTCTGGGCCGCCGAAGCCTTTGCGCCGACCGGTCGGAGTGCGGGGCAACCGCACGGCCGGCGGTGGTTCCGGGAGCCGACCGCCGTGCGTGTTGCGAAAGGACTGCCTTCCTCGAATTCCGAGAGCGATGCCGAGAGCGATGGCGATGCCACCTTCGATCCGCTCGGGGCTCCTTCCACCGGCAACCACAACAACAACAACAACAACAACAACAACAACAAAAACAACGAGGAGGAGCCAAGGAAGAAAAAGGTGGTCGTCATCGGGGCCGGCTGGGGGGGGCTGTCGACGGCCCAGGCCCTGGGTGCCCAGGCGGAGGTGCCCCTGGACATCACCGTGGTCGACGCCGCCCCCCGGGCCGGTGGTCTGGTCCGGGACGGCTTTGCGACCCAGAAGGGGAAGAAAGCCGCCGAGGCCGGCCAGCACGGATTCTGGGACAACTACCACAACATCTTCGCGCTCCTGGAAAGGGCCGACTGGGTGGACCCGGAGGAAATCCTGACGGGGTACGCCGAGCAGGGCCAGTACTCGCCCTCCGGGCTGGAAGCCGTCTGGCCCGTGTACCGACAAAAGTCCCCGGCCCTCCCCACGGGCCTGGCCCAGGCTCTCTACACGAGGTTTCGGAAGCTCCCGCCCCTCGATCGAGCCAGCGCGGCGCCCCTGGTCCTGGCCTTTTCCGAGTTTGACGATTCCCCCGGGGCCTGGGAGAAATACGATTCGATCTCCTTCCGGGACCTGTGCGTCAAGCTCGGGGTCTCCAAGCGCTGCTACCGCGAAGCCTTCGAGCCCATGATTCTGACGGGGCTCTTTGCCCCGGGAGCGGAGTGCTCGGCGGCCGCCGCCCTGGGCATGGCCTATTTCTTTGTGCTCAAGAGCCAGAACTCGTTCGACGTGAGGTGGTGCAAAGGCAACATCGGAGAGCGAATATTTCAACCATGGGTCGAGAACATGGAGCAAGACCAGAAGGGAAGGCAAGCCGTGAGCTTTCGAATGTCGACGAGGGTGACCGGCTTTGAAACGGACGGCGATGCCCCCTCCATCCGCCGGGTCCTTTGCGAAACGACCACCGCGCAAGGCGAATCCGAGCAAGCCGTTCTGGAAGCGGACGAGGTTGTCTTTGCGGTGGGGGGTGCCGCCCTGAGCCGCTTTGTGCAGTACAGCCCGGTCCTTGCCAGGCACGCCGAGTTTCGCCGCTTTGCCAACCTGCGCGGCACGGGGGTCCTGGCCACCCGGATCTACCTGGACCGTTTCGTGGACACTCCTTACTCCGCGAATGCCTGCTGGGGATTCGACGAGGGCGTCGGGATGACCTTCTTCGACATCACCAAGCTTCACGGCGTCGGGAAGACAAGGGACAACGAGGGAAGCATTCTCGAGGTCGATTATTACCACGCTGCGTCGCTGCTGGTGATGGACAACGAGGCGATCGTGGAAAAGGTCAAGTCCGACCTGGACACGATACTTGGAAAGGATTGCAAGGCCGCGAGCGTCGTCGATGCAGCGGTAGTCAAGCTTCCGCAGGCCGTCAACTGGTATTCCCCGGGTTCCTACGCCAACATGCCGGACGTGAAATCCAGCGATGTCCCCAACGTTTATTTTGCGGGAGACCTGGTCAAGACCCGGCACGGGAGCTGGAGCCAGGAAAAGGCCTACGTTACCGGAATCGAGGCGGCGAACGCCATTTTGCAGCGGAGACCCACCCACGGAATCCTGCCGCTCGATCCCGATGAATTTCACGTTGCCTTGGGCCGCAAGGCGGTCTCGGCTGTCCAGCGCCTCGTCGGGAAGGGGGACCCGTCGAGGGCACCCTCGTTGGTCGACTTTTTGTGGTGAGCGTAGAACCGTGGAACCAAGACGAAGAAATATCGAGGTTGCTGTGTTTTCAAAAGTCCTGTATCATTCCATCTACCGTCAAAATGTAGTCGCGAAGTATGTAAATGATCATTCCTTGTGAAGGCGATGGTTTGCGAATCTATATACAATCTATAAATCAATTTGATGACGCTATGATCGATGGCAGGATGCAATCAAGCTAATATACAACACCGAGCTAGACGATCTGTGTTACATCATAACCTAAGTAAAGACATACTGCATCATAACCCAATGAATGATATTCTTTCAAACTCTTTACTTATTTTTGTTAGTCAGATAGGATGTCGTTGATTGTTTGGGTGATCTCGTCGTGGATTCCTTCAATAGGTAAAGTTCGAGGTAAGAGATTCATTGACGTTCGTGTTTCCTGAGCCAAGGAACAATTTTCCGAGATCGAGCCGTTCGGCTTCTTCTTCGGTCATGCAAGGAGTAGTTGTCCACAATTCAACGTTCATCACCTCAAATCGAGATCCGATCGGCTGCGACTTGCACAACGAGGGAGACCCAAATGTCACGCACGGGCTGCTGGATCCCTGGAGCAGATCGGACTGAAGTGCCAGCCCGAAACCCCAGTCGTGTGTGTTCATAGCCAGCGGAGGGATGCTGTTGAGCTCCTCACTTTTCTTTTCGGCGTACGTTTCGTCTGGTATTCCTCCTCCAACGGCGATCCGATCGTGAGTGCACAGCTGGATAAATCCATTTTCTCCCGTGTACGGATACACATCGATTTCGGATTCCTTTTGGGCCTGGTCGAGGATTCCGTTTGATTTCTCCAGGCGGGAGTGCCTCATTCTCCACAAAAAGGATTCGCCGGTTCCAAAATAATTCCAGCTCTTCCTCCAGGCTTGCCCCGTGAAGCTACCAAAGACTTCCCCATCAATCGTCTCGATGGCAAGAATCGAGTACTTGATCCCCCGAGCCTTTCTCAAAAGGGTTTGAAGGGAGGCTCCATCGCGGATCATGCTGTACTTCATGTGGAAATTTTGGCCACTCTTGCTGGAGGGCAAAAATGCTTGGAGGCTCTCCATTAAGGGTGGGCTCAGAACGTGCGGTTTCGAGGCCTCGTCATCGAGAGATGTTCCGAAAATACTGAATCCAAGTGTCCCCGCTCCTCCATATCCGTTCACGTATTCGTCCTGGATGATATTCCATGCATCGAAGCGCTGTTCTCTCGGGGATCCGTATCCCATTTCCCACGAGGTGGATCCGCCGTCGGTAATGTCGTCCTCGATAATTTCAGACTGCCCGTCGGAGGAGGTTGGGATTTGCAGCAAGAACTCCCGATTATGGTCAACAAGATTAGAAATGGTAGACATGTTGTCGTCCGATAGGGACCTACGAATGTCGCGGAATATCTCCGAACTGTGTTGCTGCTTTCCAAAGGAAGAAAAGAGTGAAAGATCGTCGAAGGAGCCAGCCGTCCTCATGATACCATTGTCTGGAAATGGTGCCACGTTATCGCGGAACACGTTTTGATCTGGAGTGTATCGGTAATAATACGAATCAGCCTCGCTGAGAGGCCCGTCAATAATTGGCGCTTCCTGCGCTTCCGTCGCCTCGTCGTCGATCATTGGAGTTTCTTTCATCTCTGTCACTTCGAATCCTTCTCCCTCGTAAGTATTTCGGGTCGCCTGGCGCAGCAAGACGGGTTTTGAGAGAGGTTTGCATGTCGGGGAACGCATAGACAACTCGTCCTCGGCGTCCGCGGCGGTATTCACCATTGGCAAGGTCACATCGTGTGGGATCGAGGGGACGGAACCATCCGATGACAAGCCGGACACGCGCTTTGGTTCATCTTCGGGCAGCGTGCCTTCCGACCGCTCGAGCTGTACCCACGCGGAAGCCACCCCGGCCGAGACGCCGAACTGCTGAGCGATAACTTGCCGACTCATAGAGATAACTCCAGAGGGAACATGGACGCTGCTCGCTACCGAATCCTGGCGGATCGGCCTCGCGGGATGCAGGGAGGGTAGGGTGGAGGTGGATTCCTGTCGAATCGGATTGCCCTGGCGGATGGATCCAAACGTGGCCACCGAGCTCTGTCGCGTTGTGAACAGAGAGTCACGCAGTGGGTTCCCGTGGCGGATGGAGGGTATGCTGGCTGCCGACGGAGACTCTGCGAGTGGGTTTCCATGTCGGATGGAAGCAAAACTAGTGACGGAATCCTGAAACACCGAATCCCGGATGGGTTGGCCGTGGTGAAGCGATGGAATGCTAGCGGTCGACTGCTGCCGGTCCATGACGGACACGGAATCCTGGAGTGGGTGCCCATGGTGCAGGGAGGGGATGCTCGAAAGAGAATCCTGGCGGATGGGAGCTCCGCGATGGAGACTCGGGATGCTGCTCATGCTGGTCTCCCGTTGCAGCCCGTCGCGTCGTTGCCTTGCCATCAAAAGAGCCTGATTGGGATTCTGTAATTCCGCAGGGATGGCAATCTGCGAGTCCGACACCACCCTTCTCACGTTCTGGGGTTTCTTCGCAGCCGTGTCGACGGCATCGATCGGGGTGACGGCCGAGGTTTCTCTGTCCTTGTCGAATTCCAGCTCCTCGTCGATGTCGTGAAACGTAACCGACTTTCTTCTACCGGAAGACGACAGGGTCGAACGAGATCGGTGATGCGTGGGTTTCGAATCGACAGCGTTGGGTTCCGGGATCCTTGGTAGGCTCCTCTGCGGGGAGATCATGTCGAGCGTGACGGATTTCGAGCGGCGGTACTGGGGCCGGCGCGACGCGAGCGGAAGGCTCCTGGGAACAAAGGGCTGGTGCTGCCTGGGGAGTTTTGGCTTTGGGGGGGTCCGAAAGCCACCACTGCTGCCTTCGCTGGCTTTGGCCGGAGGCTTGGCGGCCCCATCGGACCGAAAGACGTCTTCCCGAGAAGCCCCGGGATGGGCCCGGTTTCCCACCAGAATGGAGAGACCACTCATGTTGCTCCCGATGCTGCTGATGCTGGATTCCCGCCGCAGCAGGGACCTACGGGATCCGCTCTGGGTAACGGCGAGGCCCGATTGGTGGGCCCGCCAGAGGGTTGCGAGGTTGAGGGAGGATTCGCTCCTCCTTCGCTCCAACACCTCGCGGCGCCTCGAGGATCCGGCGACGGCAGAGGGAATCGATCCCAGCGACGAATTCGCTTTCGCGTTCACGGCAGTCGCAGTGCCGGTGCGGGAGGAAGAGGTGAGGGAGCTCGTCGCCGATTTGTCGAGGCCCCGGCGCTCCGAGGTGGCAACGGACAGCGCTACACCGTCGCGAGTAGCATCGTCGTCCTCGGTACTCGTGCTCGATCCAATGTTGATGTTGATGTTGATGTTGCTGCTGCTGCTGCTGCTGCTGTTATTGTTCCCTATCACGGGTGTGTCTGCGAAAAACAATTCCTCGTCTTCGACGGTCCGGAGGGCCGCTTCGACCTGGGCGTCGGTCCCCTCTACGGTCAGCTGCTCTAGGAACAACCGCTCGAGTTCGGTGAAGGTACTGCTGCGCATCGATACGCTTCGCCTCAGGGAATCCCGGCTGTTTCTCGAGCACATGGAGGTGTCCCGGGATTCGGCACGGATCGCCACGGGTTTTGGAAGGCCGGGGGCGGTGGTTGGTTCCGGTCGCTCGTTGTTGCTTGCGTTTGTGCTGTCGGTGAGTGCGGTCCCATCGTGCGGCTCCGCATTGCCGATGACGGCGTCTTCGGCAGGCTGCTGATGTGCTCCGTTGTTTGCCGAGATTGTAGAAGACATGCTCGAGCTGTGTGCAATAGGCATATCGGATGTCATGTTTGCAGTCAGGAGATGATACAATGTGCTGCGGGTGTCTTTTCGTTTGCGTTTGCGTTTGCGTTTTCAGCAATGCGAATGCCACTTCGGACGAGGATGATCTTCAATGTAGCCTATTGGCTTGTACTGTAAGTAGCAACAGCCTCGAACAAGTTCCAATTGCGATTGTGAGCAAGGGGTACTACGGATTGATTCGTTCGCTTGGTGTTGGTCTTGTCTTATTCGCCAAGATGAGTGAGGACTTGGTGCTAAGTATGGGATTTACTCGTATTTTGCTCGGAGCGAAAGATTGGTTTTGACGAAAGGACATGTGGCATCTAACAGAACCGTATGTATTACCGTATCGTATGGTAGATGGTACGAGCACATGTACAAAACTGCAAGGTGAGATGCATCTCGACACGATGTGGTATTTGTTCGGTACCAGGTTCCTACGCGTACTCATACTCGTATTTTGTCGGCAAAACGTTTCGAGGGATTTTTTGCGATGCCCATCACTTTCCACCTGCGCGCTCGCTTTTCATTCCTTCAGTCATGAGGAAAGGATATGTTTGAAGACCGTTGTTCCATAGTTGGGATCTAAGACAGAATGTCCAATGAACGGACGGCGCGCAATACTCGATTGGGGATTAATAATTCTTGGAGGTATGAAGTAAATATACGTACGGTATGTACTAGACGTAAGTAGAATGTTCCTAAGGGCATTTCTTGTTCGTGCTGCCTACGAGTAGACAGACGCATAAGTGGATTCCAACATACGAGACCTATTATCTAGTATAGCCTTTATGGGCTTATGCATGTGGTCCTTCGTAGAAACTTACGGATATAAAATATAAAAAAATATAAAAACGTATCGTAATTCATACCGATGGAATACGGAAGTTCATAGCTAAATCCGAAACTGCTCGAAAATCCTTATCTGAAACAGAAATTCTCTCACGAGAAATGTAGACAAGTCAAAATGAAATGAATCTTGGTCAAAATCCTATGACAGTACTAGAAGTACCAAGTAAAGGACTTGGCAAAAACGAAAAGACGCAATAGGGTAGGGCAATGATTCTTGCCCCTGCGATGACTCCCTTGCGAACAGTTTTTGTGTAATACAGTATGTAATATATTTATAGAAATTTGTGCCTTTTCCGAGCACCGATGGGGTTGTAGCGGGCGGGCAGCTCGGCACCACCGCCGCAAACCGTCTCCCACGGGTGGTAGCACGACCGGGAGGCCCCGCACCAGAGGTAGCCTTGGTGGCAGCCCCAGCCGCCGGCGTCGGTTCAAGCGGCAACGGGCTTTGCGTTCGGGCCAACGGTGCCCTCGCAGGGGCTTTCCCAGGGCCGGTGGCAGGCCCCCAGGGACTCGCACCAGGTGTACCCGGCCGAAACAATGCACCCGTGCTCGTCTCGGTCGCTTCCCAAGTACGGCACCGACGGGGAGGCGCCGTCTTCCGGGACGTCGTTTCCGTCTTTCGAAACGTCGTTGGCGTCCTCCGAAGCATCGTTGTTTTCGTTTTCCTCCGAGAGATTGTTTCCGTCTTCCGGGACATCGTTTTTGCCGCCGCTGCCGCTCTCCCCGCCGTTGCCGGTTTCGAAAGACGCCCGGTGGTTCGAACCCAAAGCGGTGCGCCGGGCGGTTCCTCCGCCCCTGGATCTCGCGGCTGCCCACCGGCACTTGCGTTTCAGGCGCTCCGGAAAGGCCCGCGGAAAGGCCCTTTCGATGGTCGCGCAGATGGAATCCCCGGGGAGGAGAGACCCCCCGAGCGGGTCCCCGGGGGCGGTGGCGACCGGGGGAGCCGCCCGGAGGTGCCGGGATTCGGGGGAAGCCTTCCCGGCGGTGCCGCCGCTGCTCCAGAGGCGCCGGAGAACCCGTTGCCCCCACGAGGGGCTCCCCGAAACAGCCGCGGTGGCGAGGCGCGTTTGGCCCCCGGTCGGTGTCCGCGCGGGCGGGTCCCCCTCCCCGAGAGAAGCGGCGTCTCGGTCGGCAGAGCCGGAACCGAACCGCTGCACCGCACCACCGTCGTCGTCGTCGGTTTGGCCGCAGTGGGGGCAAGGGACCCCGGGCCTCGGGTTCCACCGCAGGCCCGACTCGAACGGCACGCCGGGGCTTGTGGCACCGCCCGTTGTACCACCCACTGTACCACCGTTGTGGAAGAGGTGCTCAAGGGACAGAAGGACCTCCCTGCCATCGGTGTTGCCATCGGTGTTGCCATCGGCATCGGCAACGACCGCAAGGGTCGCCACGAGCGGTCGACGCAGATCCATCGTTCCGGCAACGATCGCGAGCGTCAGCAACAAGAGACAGGGCACCACCGTTCGAGAAGAAACAAGGCCGCCGAGTTTGCTCTTGGTCTGCCGTTCCCTGTTGGACGGGGCGTGGTCTCGGGGAGACGGGAACGGGCGGTTCGATCCCTCCGTGTGTTTTGGAGGAGAACGTGCAAGACGCTGGTTCGGCGGCACTTCTTCGAGAACAACCTGCCGAGAGAACGGAAGGACGAAGTGTGTGGTTGGCAAAATGGACCGCATGGTCTGTCGGCAGAGCGTTCTTTTTTGAGGTGTGTTTTGATGAGGGTATGTGCAGCACCTTTCTTTCGTGGGTTCTTCCGTGACAGACGAAGGAACAGACAACCCTAATTTATGATGATGATGGTTAGCGACCGTTCCGAGGTGGAACAGAGACCATGCGGATGCAGAATGATGCAGAATGAACCATGGACCTCATCCTCCCACGGCTCATGCAGTGATCACTGCATGTGTTCTTCTCGTACGGGTACAAGGATGCTTCTCAGCAAAACCTCGGATGCTTCTCAGACTGTTTTGTGTTTTGTTGTACCGACTCATACCGTACGGTACGTTTCATACGTATGGAACGGTACAATAACATCCCTCACGAGACCTCGCAACCAACGGCGCAAATGCTCTCCGAAAGCCAACCACCTCGGCGACCGGAGCAATGGCGTTCCCCTCGCAACCCCCAGTAGCCTTGCTCCCATCGGCAGCGGGAACGCCCACGAACAACACTCCTCGCATCGGCAGGCAACAAGCACTCGGATCGCGGGAGCCGCATCGGATGGATCACATCACATCACATCACATCACATCACATCACATCACGTCACACACACCGGCAGCGAGAAGCGAACACTCGCAAGCAGCAGCGAACGAACCGAACCGTACCGTTCTGGTGAATCGGAAATGGCAGCAAGCATTCCCGCGGTGGCTTGTTTTGTTTTGGAACAAGCAGATGGATCCCTGCAATGGTCTTTCCGAACACGAATCGATTTAAGGAAGAGTGTCAAAAAAGGAAAAAAAAACATAACGCAAGTGGTACGGCAAGGTACATTTTTTTTACTTAATATAACACCATACCGTTGGCACCGCAGAATTCAACTTTGAACGTTCTCTCTTGTTCCCTGCATAGCAGATTTGAGATTTACTGGCTTCATGGCGAACCGTGTTTCCAAAGGTTTCGAAAGGGCTGCTCTACAACGCAGAGAAAGATGGGACGAGTTCCAACTACGTACTATCTCTTGCAGCTGCTTTTTATCATACCATTGTTTATTCAAGCTCAATTCTGTTTATGTGCGCTTCTTCGATAGGTGTTAAGGTGATCAATTAAATCGAGCAGCATAAATAATCCACTATCGGCAAAATACCAATCACCAGTATTTAATATTCCTAGGGAATGTCAATCCGCTTAGTCAACTTTCATAGATTTAAGCTGCTTGACCCGTACTAAATATTGTCGCCCTATATAAGTATCAGAATTTCTTATTTTACATATCGAATCTGGGTCTCATAAATCGTCATGGTGGGCACCATAATATTTACTTCAAAGAAAATGACTTTTGTCAATTCTTCTACATCCCCCACCCGTTCGAGTGAGAAGGACAAGACATGTGAGGGGTTAGTACGAGCAGAACCCCACGTACTTGGGTACTTCGTGGTCTTGAAAGGTTTGTCAGATCATCTTTCTTTCAGTTTTTTTTCTGAATTTGTGTTAACATTTTGTATCAGGCGATTCTTCATATTGAAAATATTGCATGCATACCTTACCATAAATGTTACTTTATCAGTTTCGATATATTTTTTATCAGTGTCGATCTATTTTTTATCAGTGTCGATCTATTTTTTATCCACGGTCTCTGTTGCGATAACGTAATTGCGAAATAAATTGCTGGTGAGGTGATAACAGACCAACTCGAAGAAACCGAACCCCTCTAACCAAGTCCGAGCATAGCAATACCGCATGCAGCCACGTTTGTGTCAGGTTGGCAGGCAGCGGTAGATTGGTTCATACTTTCCACGCAGAGACGGACAAAAAGGAGATGCGAGGCAGCGGAAAACAAAACAAAACATAGCAAAACAAAACAAAACAAAACAAAACCGATATCCATCCCAGTAAGTACCTTCCAAAATGTGCAACCTCGCAGTCGTAGGCGCAGACGCAGACGCAACGGGACCGGCTCGTTCAAACGCCGGCAACGATTGCCGCAGCATCCAGGCCACGGTGCAGCTGGACATCGACGACCAGACGAGGCACAGCACCTATCTCCTCCCTGCCCCCTACGAAGGGTTCAACCACCGCGTGGGTGCCAAGACAATGAAGAAGATCACCGTGAGGAACGCAAGGAACCAAAGCGAGTTTGATCTCACCCTCGACGAGGCCGCCTTTGAGCTGGTGGAGTGCCCCACGGAACTGTCTACGGAAGACTTTTACGCCATTCAGGAGGGGAACGAAAAACTCAAGGAGGACTACTACAAGGAAGTCTCCGACTTTGTAAAGCAGAAGCTTGGCTGCGACAAAGTGGTTTGCATCCACTCTCAGGTCCGGAACGAGAGCAAGTCCGACGGGAAGGTCGTTGGCTCGGGGGTGAGCCGGTACGCAACGGTGCCACACACGGACAACAGCCCGGTCAGCTCGGATGTTTCCGCCCTGAGAATCCTGGAGGAGCACAAGGACACGACGAAATACAGAAGGTATGCCTACATCAACCTCTGGAGGAACATATCGGAGGAGCCGATACAGAACTTTCCGCTGGCGGTGATGGACGAAAGGTCCGCCGTCAAGCCGGACGACTACATCCCAAAAGATTTCATCTACGACCACTCCTCTATCGTACAGTGGTCCCTATCCGCGCGGCACTACGACGTGCACCGGTGGTATTACTTCCACCGGATGACCAAGTCGGAGGGGATCCTCTTCAAGCAGACCGATTCCGATTTCACGAAAACGGGCCGCTCCTGCTTCCACATGGCCGTCCCCGTTCCCGGTGCACCGGTGGACGCTCCCCCCCGGGAGAGCATCGAACTGCGGATGTATTGCTACTGGAAGAAGCACGCGGACACCGCCGACGAACTCGACACGATGCCCACCAACCGGTCGATCCACCGGCACTGCATCCGGGACCCGCGGGAATCCTTGCTCGACCAGCCGCTGGGGAAGGCGAGCAGCGGCCAGCTGTTGAAAGCCCTGCTCGGGAGGATCCCCCTGCTGGGAGAAAGGATCCTGGCCCCCGCGTTTGCCGCCCTGTGCGCGTTCGTGGGGATGCTGGTGCGCCGGCACCCACCCAAAACCATGCCGAACCTCCCCTACTCGGGCAACCCGGAGGACTACTTCGACCGCTTCCTCCGGGAGATGCAGGCCCTCCCGTCCCAGCCACAGTTCGTCATCGACGACGTCCGGACGCGGATAGATGGCTGCGGGGAGATCGAGGGGATCCAGCTCGTCACGCAAAACCTTGTGGACGACAGGAACCAGAAGAACGGGACGGCCGCGCTGCGAGCCATCGAAAAGCAAGAAGTGGTTGCTTACCTGCTCCACAACGAGCAGTACATGGCGGTCTCCAGGAAGCACCTGGATTTGGTGTTACTATAGTTTTGTTTCAACGTTTTTGATTTTTGATAGCGACAATTAATGCATTTTAGAATATTGGTTTTGTTTGGAAGTAGAAGCTCATCGAACATAGCTCGTTGTTGTTTGCCAGATAGCATCAAAATTGCATTGCAATTATGTAACGTCGGCAAAGAAAGAGAGAGAATCCTCTATACGGCACGAGCCCCTCCGACCGATAGCCTGAGGAAAATAGCAATATATATATATGAATTATATTAAATTCTTGAATTCAATACAGTATCTGTACTGTAATTACAATTGACCGAGTCGAGCCGTTTGCCCAAAGGGACGGCTGGAGGAGGATCCTATTCATAATTTGATGATGTGTTGTGCCGTGTCTTGCTCGCCGCTCAAACGATGCGCTGTGCGTCCGACCCGAACTCCGTCCCCGCCCGCGGGCAGCGGATTCGCCGGCTCCCCGAGCGGCTCCGGGAGGTTCTCCGGCCGTCCCGGCGGGTCCTGCGCTTGCGCTCCGAGAACCTGCACTCGATCGCGCTGAGGTCCGTGGAGTCCTCCGAGCTGTCGCTGCGGTGGTGGCGGCGGTTATGGTTGCCCACGAGGGGTTCCTTCTTTCCGCTGCTGTCGTCCGACTCGGAGCCGGAGCATCCTGCCTTGTTCCAGTTCTTCTTCGCCCTCGCTCTCGAGACCAGGAGAAACAACGCCGCGACGGAAACCGCACCGGCGAGCAGGCAGGCCGCCGGGTACACCCACCGGCTCGGGTAGCGGCTTCGGTCCGGCGCCTGCCTCCCGTTTTCCGTGTTGCTCCACAGGACTGCCAGCCACTCGAGCTGGTAGCTCGTATAGTCGTAGCCCTCGCCGAGACCCATGGCGGCCTTGATCGAGGGGCAGGCGTTCTGGATGCTGGACGAAGCCCCGTACTCGATCTGGTAGGCCTTGCCGCTCTCCGCCAGGTTCCGACCGTTGGCTGCGTCGTCGTCGCCGTTGCCCCCGCACGTGGTGACCTCTACGGAACTCCCGAGGACGGTGTCGCAGAAATCAGATTCCTCGCAGTACTGGGCGTATTCCAGGGTATCCTGAATGTTCTGGACCATGTACTTGGTCTGGTCGGATGCGACCTGGGTCGTGTAGTCCTGGTTGGCCTGGTCCTCGCCGGTGTCGCTCCCGAACGGGTAGTACTCGTTCATCGTGGTGCTAAAGGTATTGCAGGTCGCGTCGAGGAACAGCCGGGGCTGGAAGCCGGTGCCGTCCGACCGGCAGTTGAACCCCGCGTACCAGGTGTGACTGGAGTACCGATGGACGGAGAATACCGACGGGATCCTCGAAAAGACGTAGTCCACGTCGTCCTGGTCGATGGCGTGGCAGATCTGGCCGTATCCGTAGGAGGCAGCGACCCAGTCGTCGATGCCCGCCATATAGAGTTTCCGGTCCTGGTCGTCCGCGCCGTAGCCGTAGGTGAAAAAGACAACCGATTCCTGCGTGTTGAGTTTTGGCGTCATTTTCGTAATGGAGGAGGCCTCGAGGGCGGCCGCGGCGGACTCGCTGATGGCCCCGCTCTGGAGCATCGACTGCGTGTCCACGAGCTTCGGTTCCACCGTGAATGCGGCGCACTTGAGAAAGTCGATCTCGGGTCCGGCTTCTTCGTCGCCCTCGTCCTGGTCGTCGCCTTGCTCCTTTTCCTCCTCGCCGTTGTTTTCTTCCTCCCCTTCGGCATTGTTTTCTTCTTCGTTGTTCGCTTCTTCGCCATTGTTGTTGTTGTTGTTATTGTTGTTGTTGTTGTTGTCGTTTTGTCCCTCCTCGCCATTCTGGTCTTCGTTTTGTTCACCTTGATCGTTGTCTTCTTGACCCTCTTGTCCCTCCTCCCCTTCGCCCTCTCCCTCGAGGACGCGTTTCCGTCCCACTCGGTGGGGATGCTCTCGAAGACGAGTGCTCTCCAAATGCCGCGTTGGCTGTGACTCGTTAGGTGCGGGCTTGGCGGTGGTTCCTCCGCTCTCGTCAAGGAAAGCCCCGGCCGCGAAGGAAGCGAGCCACAACACTACGACAAGAGCACGGAGCGATACCGGCGCACACATCCTATGCGCTGTCAACTTCCTTTCAGGATTTCCCATTTCCGTGTGCCTTGTAGAACGAATGAATCGATCGATCCGATGTGCGTTGAGCCGAGCTGAGGCGAGTCGAGTCGAGCTGAGATGGCGTTCGAGATAGGACTGGATCGGAAGATACCCAGTGGCAATCCTTCGAACGATACCAGGTATGTTTTCGAAGAAAAAAAATGGTGATGATAGCGATGATGATTCCCTGTGGAACGGCACGAGTATGGGGAAAGAGATTCAAACTCATACTATCGCCTGGCATGAGGACACCGGTGCGCAGCGTGCTACTCCTCGCGAACAGGAACAAAACCGTAACGACTTTGCATATGCCTCGCGCGTGCCTTCCATTTTTTCGCTCACTTTTTTCTAATGGAAACGGACAGGGCTGGAAAAAATGAAACTTTCAGCTTTCCATTATCGAGAAAACAGGAAGAAGAACCGGGACTGGATAGACKGCTATCGCTAGAGGAATAAATGGACTCGTCCGATCCAAAAAAAAGCACCCAAATTCTGTCTCTGATGCGAAAATCCAAAATCCAAAATCCGTCGAATGAAATCAGAAGGCAGATGGTACGGTAGGTATCGCAACTGCTGCGAATACTTGTTGCACAAAAAAAATTGCAATTTGCAGTCGCATACCACACACGGAACGTGCCACCCGATCCAACCAACCATGAGCAGCAGCGAGACCACAACAGACAAGACAGAACCGCAGCGAACGAAGAAGACCGCCGTCGTGATCGGAGCCACGGGGTACATCGGCTCCGCCGTCACCATGGCGCTCGGCGACCACGGAATGTCCGTCCGGTGCACCTCGCGGGACGCGAGCGGGGCCCGCTGGCTGAAAGACCTCGCGAGCGATGTGTCGGTCGTGGAGCTGGCTCTCTCGGACACCGCCGGGGAGGACACGGCGAAATCCCTCCGGAGCCTCCTCCGCGGGGCGGACATGGCCTTTTTCTGCGCCGGCTTCGAGGAGCAGTCCCCGTCGACCATCGACTTTATGGTGTCGAACGCCCTCGCCCTGGTGGACGCCTCCCGGGCCGAGGGCGTCCCAGTGGTCGTCCTGACGTCCTCGGGCGGATCGACGAACCCCCCCGGGGGCCTTCCGTCTTCGGTTCCCAAATCGGAGGTCCTCCATTTTAGCGACCCGGAGGAGCAGGTCCTGCGCGGCAGGTACTCCCCGGCGGCCAAGACGCGGATGGAAGCGCGGGCCTTTGCGGCCGTGGGCCGGAACCACGCCAACGAGGTCGTGGACCCGGTCCTCGCGGGGGATCCGGCGACCCCGAGGCTCGTAGTGATCAACCCCAACCTGGTCCTCGGCCCGCAGCTGGATCCGAGTCCCACCGTCAAGGGAAACTCGCTGCCGTGGATGGCCAGGATCCTCCGGAAGGAAGCCATGGCGGACGCCGTTCCGAACGACAGCATGAGCATCATCGACGTCCGGGATCTGGCTGAGCTACACGTGGCGGCAGCCCTCGACGAAGCGGCGTCGGGCCGGTACTTCGGGGTGAACCGCTCCTACGCCTGGAGGGAGATCCTCGGCGCCTTCCAGCGCGTCCTCGCGGAGAGGGGGGGGAGGGGCTACTCCCCCCCGCCACTGAAGGAGGGGGAGGACTACGACTCCGCGATTCCCACGCAGTTCGACCACACGCGGAAAAACAGCCTCGGCGTGACGCTGCGGCCCCTCGAAGAGACCCTCGGGGACCTGGTGGATTTTCTCCGAGCAAAGGGGGCGATATGATCGTGACGAGAACGACGATGACGTTGGCGCAGCGATTCGATGGCGATGAAGCAAGAAGGCCCGCGGAGGGACCGGAACGAATTGGTTGAAATGGTGAGCATGGTAAAAATTGACGCTTCTAGTATAAATTAAGGCACGGCAGTCCGTGAGTACGTAGTTCAAAGAAGTTGTGCGTTTCTCTGGAACATCATTCGTGTTGGTTTTCATCGCCGTCCCCGGGCGTTGCCCGAACGAACACGAGCCTGTCTCACGACGGACGCCGCAGCGCGTTCTGGTATTCCTGCTTCGTCAGCAGCCGCGTCCGGGTCTGCTCCATTTCCCGAACCCTCGCCTCGATCTCGTCCTCCGTCACGTACCGCCCGTACCGGTCCATGACCTCCTTCAGGCTCATGACGCCCAGCAGCGTGCAAATCACGGCAAACTGGCCAAAGACCCGGGTGTGCAGGAGGCGCATCTGGAAGGACTCGGCGACCCCATTCTTGGAGCCCTGGCCGTAGAAGATGTAGGCCACCGAGGGCATGCCGATGGCAGCGATGCACTTGAAGGGGTTGGACTGGACAAAGTTGGCCGTGGACTGGTAGGCCGACAGGGTTGGAGTGTCCACCAGCCGAACTCCCGTGTCGAGGATCGACTGTCGGTAGAGCTGGCGGAGTTGGACCTCCTCGGAGGTCGTCCCCTTGTTCTTTGCGCGCTCGGCCCAGGCGACGGTCTGTCGTTGGCGGTGCGTTTTCGGTTGCGCAGCGCGGGTTGTTTTGTCGTTGTGTGTTTCGGGCATTGCGTTGCGTTGTGTTGTGTTGTATTGTATTGCGTCGCATTGAGTTGTGTCATAATTAGTGAGTGCGTCCGGGAGCGGTTGTTGTTGAGAAAGAATGTTTTTTGGAGCGAAACAAACCAATCATCGCATAGGTATGATCGGTTTGACGAAGAATACGACGCAGAGTCAGAAAACGCMGTGGAAAAGGCTGTGGCATACCGGGCCTTGTTGCACGGCGCCGTTGTTCGCTTCGATTCGCTTCTGCCCKGCACCACGGGCCTCAAACTAAAATAGAAATACAAATAGAAATACAAATACCTACCTCGAGGTTGTGCTCGCTCTCCGAGGCCACCTCGTGCATGCGGTGGGTCAGCTTTTGCTCCGACGTCACCGCAAAGGTAAACAGGGGCGGCATGATGGCGATCGCCGTTCGGCTCTGTGCATTGGTCAGTTTTCGAAACCTCGGGTTCTTCATCGCGAGCCACAAGCCGCCGAGCGTCGGAACGAACATCATCGCTCCGTTCACCATTCCGTCGTTCCAGGCAGAGGCCGTGACCTCCTCGCGCCTGTGTTCGGGAGTAAGTGAGGACATGTTGTTGGTTTGTTGTGTAACTGAGTTCGTTTCTATTGTCTCTGTAGTACTGTGCCGATATTAGTGCTGCTTGCTGTCCATTGCAGCAGACTGCAGGTTCACGGTATAGATCCGGTTGGCTTGGGGATCGGCAGAGGTCCCGTAACGTACGTAACATGCAGTATCGTACGGATTCGAATCGGAACGTACGGTATGTGTATGGAATGTGCCGTGTTATGTTCCAGTCAGAAAGTGCGAGTTCGAGTGTTACCTCGAGTACTGGTACTGCGTGTTGGAAGCACGAATGATGCAACGTAACAGTGACTTGAGACTGCTCACCAGTGCGGTAGGTACGTAGCATACTAAAGTATGTGATGCAAGATGATAGAGCATGCGTTGGGAACGACCAAACTATCGTGACAGCACCGATTCCCGTCTGCTAAGCGAATTTAAGCACGTCCAGGCTCAGTTAGTACTACGGTGGGGGACCACGTTGGAATCCTGAGTGTTGTTCTCTTTTCTCCTTTTTTTGTCTTTGTCTTTCTTTTAATGCAGTACTGATTCTACCTCCTACAGCGCGACTAAGACTACTCGTACCCACTGTTAACTGCACCAACACATGCCTGCAATGCCAATGCAAAACCTGCTATGGTAAAAGGAACCTGGAAGTACACCACACTGCACTCCGCTTGCCTTGCAAGTACTGAATCCTACACAAAACTACAGCCAGAACCAGGTATTGCAATTGCTGCCGCGGTACTAGTACTAGTAGTAGGAACGGTACGAAAATTGTACGTATTGAAATGATGCATTCTGTATTTTTCCTTCTTGTACCTCCTCGTACGCCAATCTGTATGTTGGTATTGGATTGGGAATGGTGGAAACGTAAGAATTGGTTACTAGTTCAGGTTCAAGTTCAGACTACAATATTTGAACAGGATATGAGTACAGCATGAATACGTTGTTTTTAACACATTCATCTAATAAACATTGTTATCAAAGCAAGCTGTCATCTCTTCAGTTCTTCATTAACACTTCTTAACCAATTGTGCTCAAAAGACCACCAGTGTTTTATTCCTTGCATTAAGTAGTTGTTGGTCAGCACATAACAGTAGAAATCATGAACGCCCAGTACTAGTAGTACTAAGCTTTTTATTGTACTACTGGTAGAGATATCTGTTTTTTTAACCAATTTGTACTTGGCAGTATGGTGAGGATTGTTTGTACAGTACACAAACAATTCTTTTCAGTAGAGCAGATCTGGTTTTATTTTTAAAAAATGTGACAGCTTGCACATGCTGGTTTGAATTAAGGCCACTGTTCCATGATGCGAAGGACCCTGTAGATTTTATATTGTCTAAAAGCTGTCACGCCTTGATTGTTCAAACGTTTACTCATACAGTGGACTGAACTGGACTACCACTTTTCACTTGTGCACCACAGGAGCCAGTAACCTTGAAGGATTATCTCTGCTCTGGACTTCAGGAAGAAACAAAAAGAATTTAAATCCCAGTGTCCCATTTTTTGCAAATAAATTAGCGGTAGTACCTTGGCAAAAAGCAGGAGATTATTCAATTTTTTTACTTACTAGTAATGCTACTAATAAACATTCACTGATGATTGTGACAATCATGCAATCACCAGTCATTCCAATATTTAAGAGAACTGCCAAGAAATTTCTCCCAAGACTCAAATAAATGAGTGACATATGATATATAATTGGTCATTCTGAGATCATTTAAGAGAACCTATATCCTCCCGAGACTCAATAAATCAGTCATTTTTGTCATCAGCCATTCCAAAATTTAAGAGAACCTATGAGTAGATCTTCCCAAGGCTAAAGATTCATTCTTTATTCCAACATTGAAAAGAACCCTAAAACAACAATAAATATGGACAGCTTTGGCTTTGGCTATAACAGGCATGATGCAACAGTCAATTCCTCTCTGAGCAGAAGGTGCTGCTGGGGAGTAGCAATTTTGAGTATAGCAATGCCAACACCAACTTTGACAGCAATATCTACAACAACATTTAGTCATTAGCAAATGGGACAACTACTATACAACCAATGAGAAGTTGTCATCTTCATGATTGGTCATTCCAAAATCAAAATGGTTGTTTTTGCCTGAAAGAGAGGAATCCCATCCCCAAGACTTGATAAATTCTGTCACAACAAGCCATGCAACCATCAAAATAGATGTGCTCAAGTCTAGCCAAAAAACACAATAGGACACCAGATGTAATAACAAGGTATGCTGGAATTATTTGAAGTATTGTTGTCTCTTTTTGGAGTATGTATAACAAAGACCAACATATCTTGAGGGCTGATGCTCTCCAGCAGTGCTTGTTTGCAACTAGTAGTAGTAGTAGTGATAAGACAGGGAAGTAGTACTGAGCAATCAGATTGATGATGGCAGTGGAAGCAGTAGCAGCATCTTGGTGGATGGTCCGGTAGATTTTTTCACAAGTAGCATGATAAGGAAGTAGTATTGGTGGACATTGGGTAGGAAAGCTTGGGGATCAGGGGAGGAAAAGAGTGGCTGAAGTTGGGAAAGTTTAGGGTGGAGAGAGATGAAGTGCCTGATTCTCTTTATTAATCACCATGCTTTGAGTAAGGCCTGTTTTTGGAAACAATGTGACCATGATGGAAAGCTTTATAGCTTTGATCCAATAGGGAAATGTATGAACACAAAAATATTTCAAAGAACAAGGAGGCTCTTAGAATTACAGGGGATAAGAATCTTAATTGAGGACCTGAGATTCAGTGCTGGGAAATATTGTTCCCAAAAAGATGGTACCAAGATATGTTGGTCTAGTAATTGAAGTGCTTTACCAGAAGGAGACTCTTAGCACTTAGAGAATATTTGGAGTAACACAGTAGGGGTCAAACCATTCTGAAACACAGCAGCTTGCTGCCAACAGGAATCCAATTGTTGTCATTGCATCAAGAAAAGATAATACTGCAATGCTATGAATATGAACTTGTTGCATGATGAGAACAGTGGAGGAAATTCATACTGTTATTCTGATATACAGCATGAGTGACAAAATTGATATTCTTTTGTTTCAGAACTGTGGCGCTATTTGGTAGTATGGGATTGTAAAACTTTGTGACAAGGATATTCCTACTATCAAGGCAGCAGAAAGCTACACTGAAAGACTTCTAGTAAGCTAGAACACCAATCTTCAGGACTTTGCTTGTCAATCTAATGTTAGTACTACTAGTAGTAGTACTAACATTACTAGTACTACTTTCACTTGTGTTACTACAAACATCATATCATTCATGACAATGAGCACAGTTAGTAGTAGTAAAATGCAAAGAATATTGACATGTGTCTCCTCTGCAGTCTCACTATTTCTTGTGCATTCTTCAGCACTCCTGGTGTTACTTACTATGCTAAGCCACAACTACTGTTGTGGGGGCAATTATCACCACCTTTTAAAATTGTTTATGGATTACTGAAAAAATGAAAACTACTGTAACTGGCTCTTTTTTCAAGAGCAATTTGTCTTCTCATACAGCAGGTATGCACAAGGAAAGCACCCAAAACATTTCCACTTGCTTTGACAGTGATGTAGAACAAGAAGAAACAAAGCAATGGACTGCTACTGCTACAAGAAGTAATGCCTCTCTTCTTTAAAAGAAGCAAATGTAGATTTCAAGAATTTCATGATACCCAATCTGAGGACACTATTTTAGAAAAAAATCAAACAAGACAGTCTATTCAAGTGGTATATGTGGTGGGAATTTTTACTAGTAGTGATCACCAGTAGTACTACTAGTAGCAGACACTTGCAGTAGGATATACTGGTGTTGAACCACTTGCAGTAGAATATACTGGTGCTGAAGTCAACATCAACAAAGTAAAGAAAGGCAACAATTCAATGGTTGTGAAAAAAAAACTCTACTACAAAGATGACAATATTGATGACAGTCAAATTAGTTTACAATTAGTTTACAAACATTCAAAAACGTGCTAAAAAATACCCTGTTTTACTGTACGTACGAGTACGAGTACGAGCGATTGTACTAAGCGTTCAGAGTTCAGGAAGATATAATTTCGAACAAAACATCATGCGAATTCTGTGCCGAATGAAAATTCGATGTACTTCCTCAGTCTGTAGTAAGAGAACCAACTACCTGGTACCGTGCGGTGCGATACTCGTAGCTGGAAGCAAATCAGATGCGAATGGAGAATCGAAAATTCGTTGTTGATGTTGCACAATCCTTTCCACTAGCAATACGAACAAACTATGGAAATCATCACTATCGAACGCGGATGATGATGACGACGACGACGAGGAGGAAGAGGACGACCGACACCACAAAGATGGGAAGTTCTCCCGTTGTGGCTGCTGTTTTTTTGGTTGCTTGTGCTGCGGCAGCTCTGGTTCTGGTTCTCGTTCTGCTTCTGGTTCTCCTTCTCGTTCTCGGTCCCGTCTCCCCCTCTGTCGGTGCAACGCACAAGTCGAAGGCGACTTCCACGCCCACCTTGCGAAAATGCAGCAGTGGCAAGAGCAACAACTGCGACAGAGCACCCGACTACTGGCCCCGATTCTCCGGAACCCGCCGGGTACGACTCCTGGACGGTATCTGGAACGCGAGTCTCCTTCGCTCGCACCCCGAGGGATTCGACTCCATGGATCCGGACCTCGACGCATCCACCTTCGACACCCCGGAACGGGTCGCGGTCCCCTCCACCATCGAGGTGGTGGCCGATCCCGACCATGGGTACCTCCCGGGGTACCTGGGGTACCGTGGGGTGTCGGTCTTTCGGACGCGGTTTTCTACCGACGAGAGCACGAACGGAGGAGGTGGCCGGCTCTTGTTCCAGGCCTGCTCGTTTTACTGTCGGGTCTGGCTGAACGGGATCGAGATCGGGGACCACAGGGCCGGGGGTTACGTGGCGTGGTGGCTCGACGTTCCCCGAGAGGTACTGGATGCGGGTGCTGTTGTCCAGCGGGGCATCACCGCAGCTGCGGGTTCGAGCGCAAATCCAACCGTTGACTCCCGTGCAACGGGAAAGGGAAGAACAATGCTGGTATCCCACGACCTGGTGGTGCTTGTCGATAACCGATTCAACGGGACTACTGCGCCCCTCCACACCGGTGGAGATTTTTGGCATTACGGAGGGATCCTGCGGTCCGTAGAATGGCACGATCGCCCTGCAAAATCTTTGTTGTCGCGGCATTCTTTCATCAAAGGCAACCGCAAACCATTCGTCGCTGCCAGCCATGGCAACGAATCGTCGTCGGCGTGGCCCTGGAGGCTCTATGTCTACCCACAAAAGGACCTGCAAACCGTTCGCTTGAAACTACAAGTTGCCGGAGCTTCAGGAAACGAACCCGGGAACCTTGCAATTTTTTTCGATGGTGACGACGAAACAAATGCCCTTGAGGACAACCACCATGGCTTTGCTGGCGACGCTGGCGAGGACGATTTGTGGGAATCTCTGGAATCGCATCCTTCGAGGACTCTGGAGGCAGTAGCCAAATCACCATGGTTGGAAACCGATCAGTTGCTGGATCTGGGGCTGGTGTCGGTCCCAAATCCACGGGTGTGGTCCACCACCGATCCGCAGCTCCACACCGTGTCTGCTTCCCTGAACGGAGCCGTCGTCACCGAACGCTTCGGGCTCCGTTACTGGGATGTAGACCCGGACCAGAGCCGGATACGGCTCAACGGAAAGGTGCTCAAGCTCGTGGGGTGGAACCACCACACCCAGTGGCCGTACACGGGAGCAACGCCCACGACGGAACAGCTCAACCGCGACCTTTCACTCCTGAAGGAACACGGACACGCCAATTTTGTACGTGGCGCCCACTATCCACAGGATCCTCGCTGGCTGGATCGATTGGACGAGCAAGGCATGGTAGGCTGGTGTGGTGAGTAAGGCTTGTGTGGTGTCAAAGGAGAACAACAGAAACTAAATGAGAGGCTAGCTATCTGTGTTTCTTGTATTATGGATAGTATTGATACCCTTTGTTGCTTCGTTCGGAGCAAAACTGTGTTAGGCTCACACTGCTTTGTCCCGTGACGCATGCATCGAAAGAAACGCTCGGGCCTGGGATTTCCATCTCGAACCTGAAGGACGAATACTTTTTGGAGCAGCAGGACCAACAACTGAACGAAATGATCGATAACGCATCCAACCACGCATCGGTTGCATTCTGGGCATTTTTCAACGAAGGTCCAAGCCACAAGGAAGAAGCCTGCGCGGGATACCAAAGGAGTTCCGACGCCGTTTTGGCCCGGGATGCGACCCGCTTTGTCACCTACGCTTCCAACCGCCCTTCCGTCGATAAGTGCTACGGGGCCGCCACCGTCATTTCCCACAACGGATACCCCGGCTGGTACCACCCGGATGAACCCGGTCGTTACTGGAACCGCATCGCGGACGACCTCCGGGCCGGCAAGTCCCCGTCGGCGATCGGAAAGCCCTTTGTGATCTCCGAAACGGGTGCGGGGGGAATCTACGAGTGGCACCAAAACGATACTTGCGTAAAATGGACGCTGGGATATCAGACCAACATTGTAATAGAGGATGTGGACACCGCAATTCAAAACGGGAACGTTTCCGCGATAGCCCTCTGGCACTTCTTTGACTTCAAGGTGGACGACCAATACGAAAACGAAACGCACTGCGATTATAGAGAGGGCGTCGTACCGCCGACCTGTGGCTTCATTGATGTCGAGCACCAACCAAAACGGCCGGGGGGTGCCAACCACAAGGGTTCCCTCGACTTTTTCCGGCGACCGAAACCCGTCTTTGCGGCTGTAGCCTCCAGGTATAGAACCGCTACGACTCGCGGGAGCGGGCGAGGATTCTTGGAAGGGGACTGAAGCGAAGCGAGCCTGCCGCATTCCACAATCATAGATTCGAGAAACCCCACGCGCACATCGAGGAAACCGAATTTTTCGTTGTTTTCGATTGTAAGAACTCGAAATATGGAATCGATGGTGCAGAAAACGGGGCTACAAAAAGAGTCATCTCATAAATAGTTGTTAAGCACAAGGTAATCGTGCTGCTAGGTTTCAAGTCATGACAAATAAAGTTACTTAAATAATGAGCTACTGAATGATTGGCAAGAATCGGGAATCACCGTGAAAACAGACGTTGCTTCAGAAACAAAGACACCACGGATCGAATCAAATCGTCAACAGCCTCACAAGAAACAAAGACACCACGGATCGAATCAAATCGGCAACAACCTCACAAGCCGCATTTGTCAACAAAGTTGTCCACACTCGCGATGCAACCAGTAGTAGCTCCGAACAAACAAAGTGCAACTCCTATGCAGGCTGTACCTGCGCAGGCGGCCAAGATGCAGGGGGCGATTGCCCCGCACGCAGCAGTCATTTGGCCAGTTGCAAGGACACAACCGAAACCGAAAGTCTGAACGTTTTGAACTCCGAAGGAATTGTCTTCCGCGATTTGAAGTTGCATGAGCTCATGTTCGACAGCGACGGATTCCGCCTCGGACAAAACGCAGCTGGTGGTGGGGCCAGCATTCTTCGAGCTCTTGAGGCCACGGGAACGGGGACCCTTTCTGGAAGGTTCCATAACGTTGAGGAATGCTTCATCTTGGTCCTTGGCTGCCGCAACAGCGAGAAGGAGAAAGAGAGAAAGGAGGCTGCAGAATCGAGTCATCGTGTTGGACAGATCCTTCGCTCAAGAGAAAAAAAAGAGACATTGGTGAGGAACGAGAAAGGCTGGTTTGATGTTAAAGAAAGAGAAACGCACGAATATACCAATCAATGGACGATCTTGCAGAGAGATAATGATTCGTGTGACTCACAGTACCGTTTTAAGAAACAATAATAGCTTCTGTATGATTGATAATTTTGAATTGTGAGAGCTGAGAGTTTTTTTCCGAAAAGCTGCTTGTTTACATGGAGCTGCGTGTAAACTTTATGATTCCGGTTATTCTAAATTCTCTGAAGCGCTCAGTGTAGGGATCTACCGGTACGGTAGCAACTGTTCCAGCAACCAAGCTCAGCACATTAATTGGATTGGTACGGTAGCAGCTGTTTCAGCAACCAAGCTGAGCACGGAAAGTGATTCTCCAGCGAGTGCACAATAAATCCAAGGTGAGGATATTAAATGAAGCTACTGTCCCACTGATAGATCCGAAATATCACTGTCTGACTGTGTTCGACATAGCCACCCATACTGGTAGTGATTCTCAAGCGAGTGCACAATAAATCCAAGGTGAGGATATTAAATGGAGCTACTGTCCCCAATGATAGTTTCGAAATATCACTGTCTGACTGTGTTCGACATAGCCACCCATACCGGAACGGGGTATTTTGTACAGTACGTGGTATTTAAAATACCGGAAATCAAAATTTCATTGGACAGATTGAGGGGAATCAAAATTTCAACGGACATACTGAGAGGAAGCCCTTCTTCTTCCTACTCGATTCGTACCGGTGCGTATGTTCACCATATGCTCAAGCTTTCTTCTTCCTGCCGTACCGTAGTCTGGAGAATTTATGGTTCTGGCCATATCGGACGATTGGTACGGTTTGGTTCTGTAGTGCCTCTTGTGAGCCTAAATCACGAGTAGATAGTGAATAAGCTCACTCTTTATTGTAAACACGTAGATACGGCGCTAAAGAGCACACGTACATTTTGCAGGTTTCTAGTTCACGAGGTGAGAAGCAGTAGTACGAGGTAAATTATAATCTTGCGCACGTTAGTTTTCGCTATTGGTGCGCGCACATGCTATGAGAACCGTACACGTATTGCATCAGTGTATGATTCATACCTTAACCTTGTTCGTGTAGCCTCTGTGTTCGTGACTCGACCTATTTGATGAAGGCTTTTTCAAGAGAGTGTCAATGGTGGTTTTTGGGGTCAATTCTGTTTTGATGTACAGTAGTATGGTAGATCCCTGTTGATTAACGTCAAACTACTAATTGATGCATTGGTTTTTCCTGTTGTTCAACGGCAGAATTTTGATTACTTATAGAATGCAAGGAAATGAGTTTACAATTGACTACTAAAAACGAAACCATGCGAGGAAATGGGAAAGGGCCGTCAATTTTCCTCCCATGAGCAGAAAAAGATAAATTCGATTGTACTATGATTCTGTAGAAAGCAACAGGATCTGACACCCTCTGCGAATGGGCAACAGTAGCGGTTTCGGACGGATCGCGAGAATGGAATGTTAGGGCCGGGGTTGGGGTTCGGATGGAGCCGCAATCATTCCCTCAGCATGAGCAGCTGGCTGAACCCCCAGTCTGCCAGAATCACCAATAGTCCCGACAAAACCACCGAGAGGGTAATCACCGACGGAACACCCCGGGGGGTCAGGTTGGGTTTGTAATACCGGCCCGCCCATTCGGAAACACCAATCACGATCAGGATGTAGGCCTCGGCCTTGATGCAGTGATAAATCGGAGGGTACGTGGCCAGCTCGATCACCGTGTCCCTCCACGTCGCGTTGCGTGCCCCATACGATACGCGCAGGTCGAGGCTTGTCGGATCCGAGACCCCAGCAAAGATCACCGAGGCGACGGAGGACACGAGTTGCCTTGGGCTCTTGCCGACACCTTCCTCGCCCTCCGACCAGCATCCCTCGAAGCCCACCAATCTGAGAACCGGCAGCACCGACTCTTGCAGGTCGGACCAGTAGGTCCGATCGCCTACTCCTTTCGGATTCAGCCCGTAGAGAGGACCGACGATGCCCCCGAGCACGAGCGCCAGGCTCGTGCCCACGGTGGTGAGAACCGGCGAAGCGATCGAGGCCGCCAGCACCGACGGGGCCAGCGTCCACCACCGCGGATCCACCCCCAACACCCGCAGAAGCTTGTTCTGGTTCGTTGCCTGCATGGTCCCGACCTTGCCGGCGTAGCTTCCCCCGATCCGGCCGCAAAGAAGGAGGGCCGTGAGGAGGGGCCCGACCTCTAGGACAAACAATTTTGCCAGTCCGATCGCATACAGGGTGGCCTTTGCGGGTGGAACCGTTTGGTTGAGCATCGAGCTGACCTTGAAACGAATGCCCATCATCTGGAAAGTAGAGGCTTCTTCTCCCGTGAGCATCTTGATGAGGGGTCGGACTTCGACATCTACCAGGTCCAGCACCTTGGTAGAAATATCCAGGCGCTGTAGAATATCAGCACTCAGCATGGAAATCGCCAATCCGCAGCTGGGACGTTCGATCGAAGAACACCGGAAGCGAAAAAAGACGTCAGGCCTTTGTCCATCAATAAATCGGTACGGTAGGTCAAACTCGCAGTGCAAACGCGGTTCGATGTATGTCGTTCTGTGCTGTGCCGTGGTGTGCCGTTCCGTTCCGTTCGGTCCAGCAATACTTACGCCATGAACGCCATGACTATCAGCGGAAGACTGTAAAAGACATAATCCACGAGCCGCTCTAGGAACCGATCGAAAAAGGTCGTCCCGAACAAGCTCGGCTTGGTTTCGTCCGAAAGGGCCGACGCCGAAGCATTGTTCCCGGAGGACGACGACGGGGCCCTCAGCTCGACGATGCTGCGCTCGTCCTCGGCACCCCCGTGCACCAGTTTGGAGAGGTGCGGCTCGTGGGAGATCAGCAGCAGTGCCGTCTTTTGCGTCTTGCGGAGCCTGACGAGCTCCCTCGCCACGCCCTCCGCCGAGGCGCTGTCCAGGCCGGTAAAGGGCTCGTCCAGCACGACGACGCGCTTCCGCTGGGCCAGCTGGAGCGCCAGGCAGACCCGGCGGCCCATTCCGCCCGAGAGCTCGCTGGGAAGCTTGTGCGCGTCCTTCCCGTAGTCCAGGCCGACCGTGTCCAGCAGCTGCTTGATCCTCGCGTCCCTCGAAGCGGGGTCGGCAAAGACGTCCTCGTGGAGCCGGAGGGCAACCGCCAGGTTCCCGGCAACGGTCAGCTCGTCGAGCAGCGTCGTCTGCTGGAAGAGAACCCCGCAGCGTTCGCGGAAGGGAATGCTCGGATCCCAGTCGGACTCGACCTCCAGCTGCAGCTTGCGCAGCAGCGAGGCCTGGTGGGAGGGATCGTGGATTCCCGTCAGAACGGTGGCGACCGTGGTCTTTCCCCGCCCCGACGGTCCCCGCAGCTCGACGCAAGAGCCCGGGTAGAGGGAAAACTCGATGGGTTCTCCGAAGGGGGCACCGCCACCGGTTGGGCGGGCCCGGAGCGTGACCAGTGGTTTCGTTTGCGTCATTTCGGTGTCGCGGGGAGTGTTGTTGCGGCTGAGGAGGATTGTGTTTGTGTTTGTGTTTGTGCTGTGTGTTGCGAAGAGTGTTAGTGTTAGGACGTTTTCTGTTTCATTTTATTGCTGATTTAAAGTATTTTGTGTCTGTTTTCGTACGGTACCGTACGTACAGGTATTCGTACCTGTTTTACCGTAGAACGGCGGTCATCTGTGATGTTTTTTCCTGTGCATCGTCGGCATGTGCTGGCGTTCACGCGGTTGAGTCGAAAGAGTCAATGCTTCCGATCGTTGCGCTATTCGAATCCCACATCAAGACTTGCTCTACTCCGAAGAATTCCATTAGCTGCTAGGTACAGTTACAGGTACAGTACCGTACAGTATTGCACGTAATACTCGTGATCCTTTGTTATCCTCACAACTAGCAACTAGCCGAGCCGAAAGCCCTTACGGTCCGGTACTTGTACCGTGCTGTACGGTACCTACCTGCCGGTGTCTCAGAAATTCGGCGGAAGCGGATTGCCCATAGCACGACTAACTGCATAGTGATTCGCATTTTAGTCCAGGACAAAACCGATCGTACATCTTATTCGCGACCAAAACAAGTCTTAGGTGGAACTCCGAGTAATCTCGTCAACCAACAGCTGCAAACGACGATTCGTTCTTTTGGGATCTCATCGTGCCACAAACCAGCACAAGTTTCACTCGTCAACCCACAAATCGGAAATGGTTTCGAAGCAATAACTACCGTGACTGCATTTCTCACAAAACCATTAATACCCAAACAACAAGTCGCTCGGCATGACCCGATAGACGAACTACCAAATACCAATAAAGACAAGACACAACCAGACGATCATACGGAGCGAACGACAAAACACCAGGACAAAAAACAAAACAAAACAAAACAAAACAAAAACGATGAGACTGTTTCTGCACGGACGTTTGGGGACCGTAAACCTCCTCGACCGAATCGAGACCGCGAGCCGGGACGAAATCGAACACGAACGATTCTGCTCGGCGGCCTGCTCGATGTCGTCGATGCCCGTGCCGTTGTCGCCGTCTTCCTCCTCCTCGCTGTCGTCGTCCCCCAACTCCCGCTACTTCCACACGAGTCTCCTGCTGTCGAACTGGGACATGGACGAAATGGACCAGGAGGTTGTGGACGCCTTGGAGACCTTTCTCAGGATACCGTGCCAGCAAGAGCAGCAGCAGCACCACCACCACCAGCCAGCGCCACAAATCGAGCTGCTCGAACTGCAGCACAAAAACAAGAACCAACCGTGTCACGAAATCCTGGCGTCCTCGTCCTTTTCTTCCTCCCGGTCGTCTCTGACGAACCACGAGTTGCATCCGGATGCCGACGATTCGCGCGAGGTCATACTGCAGAACTGCAAGGGCGGGGAGCGATTGGAACACTTCCTGGCACTCCTCATGGAAACGAACTCCGCCCTGACGGTTCGTTACGACAAACAACAAACCATGCCCGTCCACCTCGCGAGAGGGCTGCTGCGGGGAGCTCAAGATTGCAGCCAGAGCAGCCACAAAGGCGATGGCGAAGACGACGACGACGACGACGAAAACAATTTCTGTCGGCTTCGATCGATCGCCCTGAAAGGGACGACCATCACACCCCTGGCGGCCAACTACCTCCAGATGACCCTCCCACTTCTGCCACACATGGAAGAATTGACGCTCCAGGGGAACTTCATTCTCTCGGATCTGGACAAGAAGAAATCGTCGATCGTGGGGAACTCCTATTCCAAGATGGTCCGCGTGGTCGAATCGCTGCACACCGCCCTACAGAGCCTCCCGCGGCTCAAGCACCTGGATCTGCAGCGGTGCCACCTGCCGGACGAATTCCTCGCCGATATCCTAGAGGCCGTCGACCCCGAATCCATCGAGACACTCAAACTGAACGGAAACATGGCCCACAGCGAGTCCCAGCACGTGCTGGGCCTGCTCCTCAGCGACGGACGCTGCAGGCTGCGGCACCTGGACCTGTCGTGGCAGAGGCTTCCGAACGCAAAGCGAAACCGCAGCGTCCTCGACGTTGGGAGGCTGGCGGCCGTGCTGGTGGACCAAAACACCTCCCTCGCCACGCTGGAGCTGTCGGAAAACATCCTCCTCGACGAAGACGTCTTCGACCTCGCCATGGTGCTGTCGATCCACCCCGGTCTGTCGAGGGTGAGCCTCCAGGATTGCCATATCGGCGACAGGGGGATGGTGGCGCTTGCCCACCACCTGGCCAGGTGCAAGGAAAACCTGAAAAACGTCTACCTCGACGGGAAACAAGGGGTCCGGGACACCAAACTGGTGCGCAAGACCTTCTTCGAATCGCTTCTGAGGAACGTCTACCTGCGGGAGCTCGCACTCCCCGGCACCGTCCAAAACGAGTCCACCGACTGGGCGCTGGAACTGAATCGAGCGGGCCGGCGGGCACTCCTGCAACCCGACGAACGAGACTGTTCCGACCCGGCCATCGAGTGCAAGCTCCACGCTTCTCCGTCCTTTGACTCCCAGACCGGGACCAACCACATACCCGATGGCCTGTGGCCCCGCGTCCTGGAACGAGCGGATCGAATCGCGCGCCGGGAATACCTGAGCGAGGACGACTCGGCGGAGATGAAGGCGGCGTCCGCCGTGTACCTGCTGCTGCGGGAGAAGGGATACCACGCCGCACTCGGGTGAACGAAGGAAAAAAGACCGCCGAAGAGCGGCAGCGCTAGAATGCACTGTAGTCTAAAACCTTGTTGTACAATAGAAATTGTTGATTACCACCAACTCTGCTGTGATGTCGGTTTGAATCGTCCAAGTCGGGGTGCCACACTGTGTTCAACCAATCTTTCGATTGATCGATGCGTCGACCTTTGATTAGGAATTTGTGAAGAGTTGATGTTTCGGGGGGGGATACCATGCTCCCACTAGAATACTACTATTTCCATTTTTGCAGTGATGGGGGGAAAAATTAATAGTTAGCTCCTGCTTCACGATTCAGTATCCAAGATTTTTTTATTTTACAGTATTTTTCGTAAAAATAATAGAAAGTTGGGGTTGAGACTTCCTTGGTAATATCGGTGCGGCGTGCTCTACACAGTCGTAATTTTATTTTGAATTTCAACTAGCGTGATCTATTATGCTATGTTATTTGGAATGACCCAATTTCTGTTGCTCTTACTTTTGTTTTCATGTACAAGTTGCATTCCTTTTGCGCGGGGATCTCTAAGATTTTCCTCATGTCTGGAGTCTGGAGTCTGGAGCGAGTCAGGACAAGGGTACGTACATATGGTACCAACATAGGTATGATCAAAGATCACATCGTTATGTTTTTTTTTAGTGTTTAGTGTTTACAGTACAATAATTGAGGGGACTTCTCGTTTCTCGCCACAATCGTTGTCGCGAAAAATATCAGCTGATTAAATGCCTCTCACTTCCTTCGTTTTGGATCCACTTTAATCTTGTGCATCACCGACTTGCGAGCGGCTGCTGTTGCGATCGCGATCGCATGACACAGCGGGTAGTTATAATATAATACCAGCAGCGATAGAAAGGTAAGAATGCGAGACAAATAGCCGAAGCGGCATCCCATTCCTATTGCTACGGTATCCGCCCCAAAAAACACTCAGCGGTGATAAAAGGAGTGGGAGTGCAAGTCATCACAAAACCTCAGCCCAACACTTGCAACACACATAACAGTACGATAATATATCTTTTCCTTCTTAATCCAGATGCTTCGTCTTTTGCCATCCCAAACCCGCATCCGGACGCGATCCGCCGTGGTCATGGGTCATCGGCGACAACAACGGCATGCATCGCTACTGGCCAGAAATAGAAAACACAAAACGAAACAGAAACAACATCCCGGTCCACCGCAACACCAAGCATCATATACGCGAACCATGGCTGCGGGTGCTACCGGTGCGGGTGCTACCAGTGAAACCACGCCGTCCCATTACAAGGAACACTACGAGAATTTTAAGAGAGCAGATTCCTACGAACGCGCCTACTTTTACGAGCCGGGTGCCTACATGAAACACATGGTGGATCTCTTATGGGACAGGCTGCGGCTTGAATCCAAAAACAGTACGACGACACCGAAAGGCAGCAGCGCTGGCGCCCGCACCCGCTGCATCCTAGACATCGGCGGTGGAACGGGGAATTTTGCGCAAGCCCTGATGAAAAAGCAAGAAGCCGGCAAATGGAGCGGTTCCTCGAGAATCGTGGTGGTCGATCCCTTTCTGGAACCGACGGCGGGCGGTTCGATCGACGGTCTCGTGTCTTTTGTCAAGGCGCCGGCCGAAGATTTTCTGCGCGCCCCATCGTTATCTGGGGACTGCTGGAGGACCCACAGGATCGATCGCGAGTTCGGCGGGTACGACCAAATTTTACTCAAGGAGATGGTTCACCACTTGAAGAACGAAGATCGGGTCGGGATTTTCCGTGGCATGCGGGAGGGACTGGTTCCGAGCGAAACAAGAACGGCGGCATCACCCCCGTCCCTGCTTATTATAACCCGTCCGCAGACTGAAATCGATTACCCGTTGTGGGACGAGGCTCGGTCCGTCTGGAAGGAAAACCAACCGAGTATCGAAGAGATCGAGGAGGAGCTCAGGGAGGCGGGATTCACCAACCTGGAGCGAACCCTCGAGACCTACCCCTGCTCGATCTCGCTGAAGCAGTGGCAAACGATGGTGAAGGACCGATTCTGGAGCACATTTTCGAATTTTTCCGACGAGGAGCTGGAGGAAGCCTGCGAACGCATTGCAAGGGAGCACACACGCAACTCTAAGAACGAAACCAACAACGAGGAGGAGGATACTGTCGTCCACTTTGAGGATCGGCTTTTTTTCTTGACAGCCTCTTAGTAACTGCTACGGTAAGCGCATCTCAGCACGCATGTGCGATCCCCACCAAGCAATAGCGGGCTCTTTTGAAAACATGGGAGAGATGATTCCCAACGGGACTATTTATTACTTCTTGCTCAAACTTTATTTCCGAAATAGCATCCGTGCCCGTACGTAGCGATAGTAAAGCACTAGAAACAGCAGCTTCTAGCGAAAAAAGAACGATCTATCGTTAGCATGGCGGGAAGATCGGTCACATCATACAGTACAATGAATAAATGGCAATAGTAGATACTTTGCGTGAGGAGATAATTCAGTTGTAACCTCTAAAATCATTTAACATTGCGCGGGAGGCATGGCGTTACCGGTTTGCCCGAGCTTGTCGCAGGGTCCACCTGAAAGTTAAAGAATATGGTTTCTTTGTCGGTTCGAATGCCGTCTCAAACTTTTGACATAGGGTACGAACCTACGTACGGTACCTAGGCTGTCCGGAACCTATTACATAAATAGTCCCTTGACGAAAACGAAAGTGAGTCACGAAAGAAAACTACGTACGTCTTAGTAGCAGTACGAGTACGATTAACTGCTGTGTGTACGTACTACAGCTACAGTACTACGTACTTCGTATGGTAGTAGTAGTAATACGTACAGTATTTGACACGACATTTCTTTTTTTTTTGTACTACCCAATCTCCACCAAATGGATTACGATTGTCAACATAACTGGAACACTGATTAAACACCTACTACTACATCATATCATTGCTAGCAATATCGCGCGGATGCCTTTACTTGTACACAGCTGTTTCACTGTGGCTTACCATGATGTTGGATCGTTATGATATCAGCCGCCTAGAGGAGTCGCTATCGATGAGGGCGAGAAGGCGAAGCGATGGAGGCGATGACATAGACAACTCAAGCAACAGCAATCTATCGCTGTCCAGAGGGAGCGATGAATTGTCTGAAATGTTGTGCAATCAACTCACGAACATGAATTTTTCAGAACGGAATGCAATCCAAGAAGAAATCCATGGCGCTCGATGCATGGCTGTCGAAGAAACACCCGCATTGATTCGAAGATCTCTAAACGAGTTCGAGAGCGAACTCTACAACGGTGATGAAACGGGAGGCAGCAGGCATGTGTATCGCAGGATACTCAAACGACATTTGGAGAGAATCGAAGCTGCCTCGAAAGATACCTCTATTGTGCATCCCTCAAATTACGCCATCGACGACGAAGATTTTCGGTTGCGCTTCCTACGGTGTGAAATGTTTGACGCCTCTCGTGCAGCTCAGCGATTTTGCAACTATCTGGACCTTGCATACGAGCTGTTTGGAGATATTGTCCTGGAACGAATGGTTTTGATAAAGGACTTCGAAAAATCAGAAATCAATATCTTTCGCAAAGGTTACTGGCAGCTAATGCCGTTTCGAGACAGCAGTGGACGTAGGGTGTTCGTATTTTTCGGAGGCATAGGTGTCCATGCCGACCTCTTGTTGAGAGTACGTGCTTTGTCAACAGAATGTTAAAATATATCACATGGTATGATACGGTATGAGATGCATTGCACCCACTGTAGCATCCATGAAAGATATAATCGCTAACGTGTGATTTGCTTCCCATGCTCTTCTTTCATTTTGAAACCTTCAAATAGGATAAAATTCTCTTCTATATGTGGGATGTCGTAACGCGAGATTCGGTCGAAAGCCAGCAGAAGGGCTTCGTAATAATACGACAGTTCGGGAACGTCGGTTTGAACAAAAATGTCTTATTCAACCACTCTATGAAGCAGAGAACAAACAAAATCGACTTTGGAGAGATAGCCAATACCATGAAACGTCTTTTCATTTCGATACCTTCACGGATCGTGGCCCTTCACGCGACCGTACCTGATAATCATATCATTCGGCTTCTGGGGAAAATAATATTGAAAAGAATTTTTTCTGGACCTCTTTGCAATGTCGGACCGAGGTTCGTATTGGGATCCGAAAGTAGCGACACGAAAGCTCTGAATCGATTGAAATCTTATGGGATTCCCGTAGATTTGTTGCCCTCGACAGAAACTACTAATAGCATCAAATCCACGTTTCACAACCAGTGGATGAAAACGAGGAGTATGGTAGAATGCGGATATATAGAACACAGCGAGGAAGGTCGTACTGGCGATAGGGATGACCGCGATGAAAACAGAGAGAAAATCAATGGCACCTTTGTAGAATGCCCTGGCTTGAACGATGTCGTTTTTCGGAAGGGTTCACGGTTAGCATCCCTTCAAAATCCTGGCAACAGATTGTTTCGTGATCTGATAGGAACGGTTCTAGAAGAAAAAGAAAATAGATTAGAAAAACAACGAAAGCAAACGGCAACTTCCGCTCAAGATACCACGCAAATTGATGCTTCAACATCGAGTTCCGAAAACGACGATGGTGAACATGCCAATCCTTCCAGCGCAAGACAATATGCGGCTAGCACAGTCTGTAATGAATTATCTTGTAATGAAACAACATTCCTACCGTCGGCATTGGAGTCCGCGAACACAGGAACATCGAAGTCGAAACCGTGGTCGGGGAAGCATACGGAGAGAGGCTTTTGTGATTGGCTGGTAAATCACATAATCCATAATTTGAAGGGGCGTTTCCTTGACTGGGAACCACGCATGAATGGATGGGTCGTGATGACCGACAAGATTAAAATAAGACGCAAAGTTTCCGTCTCGCTCTACAATTGGGGGAAAAAACTCAAAACCCAAGCAAAGCATCAATCGCAAGGGTTGCTGTTATCAAAGAACAAGACGGCACATACCACACCTTTTTGCAACGGCAAAAGGGACGCCACCATCGAAACCCCTCCCTTTGGTAGAGAGCACGAAGGCTGTGATAACGGGATGTCTTCTTGATTTACAGATGTAGGATTCCCATTGCCACCGCAGCAACAGTTTAGATGCTATATGATGTGGAACTATGATTAAACGCCAACAGCAAAAATCCACGCTGCCTTCCGAGTTCCGATGCAGCAAATTCGATCGGTGATAAGAGAGCCCGATATGAAACAATGATACGACATTATGGATCCCTACCAAAAGAGATGGAAATGCATTCATACGCAAAAACAAAAGCACGTAACATAAACTCATTCACGATCAACCATTTGTGCCATGACTAAGGCTGGGAGAAGCAATGATCCACGCCATCGAATGCGAGCTCTGTGTATTCCGTTGGTAGCCACTATTAAAATTTTTATTTTCTGGTAACTTGGCAATACATACATATATATATATATAATTTCCCGCCATTCATCTTGATTGTGATGACTTTTCGTGCGAATTGTGCATAGACTAGGAAGCATCGTACGTGATCAACCATCCTAAATGTTTCTTCCGCTGGTAGTATGGTTCCGGCGAAGCCACCACTAAGTATGATAGTAGGAGTTGTAGCCCTATTATGAGAACGAGTTAGTACTATTACTATTACCTCTACTGTTGTCCAGAAAAACAATATTTTGTAGAACCTCATTTACGACTACCTCTTCTACGTAGTAGTATTGATAGCAATGCAGTAGTATTACTACTAGTAGTCGTAGTAGTACCTTTCTTTTCCTACTGGTGGTACTCGTACGACGTATCTCCATCATCTGACATCGCCGCATTCTTCTTCACCACTAAAGCCGAATTCATATCAGAGTTGTTGAACTCTTCCGAAACAACTTCTTTATTACTACGAGTGGTACTAGTATCATTACTGTAATTGTGAGTGGGAACGTTAAAAATTAATGTTCTTGTCGCAAAACATCAACAACAAGTTACAGAGCTTCTTTCATTGCTAGTTCACTTCTTGAAGAAAAATCTCAATGTAGTAGAATTTGAAATACTTACTGTTACAAGAATGCAGGACTGGGTACTATCAACAGCATTCGTTATCTGGGACTCGTAGCGATTGGGCAGATTCAGTTGTACCAGTACCGAATCTCAATAGTACCAGTATTTCAATATTATTTTTAAAAAACAACAATACCGTTTTTTTCAGCGCTGTTCGGTATTTGTTTTTAGTGTTGTTACCCTTCAATCAATCTAATATAGAATTGGTGTCGGGAACATAAAAAGAACAATTTCGAGTTGTTGATACGCCAAAAGCCAAAAACACTTCAAGGGAATTTTCTCGATCACAAAATACCATCAAGTCCGAAAATAACGAATTTTCTAGTTTTACCAATATATATATATGAAATTCATGCAATTCTTACTTATTGAGGACCATCGCGATGCAAAATGATAGAAACAGCATTGCAACTGAACGGTCGCTCCCAACAAGTCTGCAAAACAATTCACTCTCTCCTCACAAATCCGAGATCGGAAAAAGAAAAACCTAATCACTCTACGGTACACCCATTGCCTACCACTCTTGACGGCTTCATTCTTGCGGCGCGATTTCAGTGAAAGCAACACAACACAACGCAACGCAACACAAGACAACGCAACACGATGCTCTTCAAAGCTCTCGCTGTCCTCTCCGCCTTGCCTGCCTTTCTTGTGCCGGGCTGCCTGGCATCCTGGGACGAAGAAAGTAGCGTGATTACCAACAACGTCCAGTGGAAAGACCGAGCCGGCGAAAAAGTCAAGGCGGGCAGAGGTTCTACCATCTCGGAGAAAATCGATGGCTACTGGTACATGGTAGGAGCTAATTCAAAACCAGAGATCCCAAAATGCAATGTAAGTGGTGGTTCGAACGCTTTACAATTGTTTGTGTGTGTGTGTGCATGCTTGCGACACAGATGCTTTGCCGCATAGCACCGAGACTCAATATGTTTGTTTGCCATTTTCACAACGGAACGCAACGTCTCGTTCGATTGCAGGACCTCGGGGGAGACATCTACATCTACAGATCCAAGAACCTCGGTAGCAACTCTTGGGAGGAGGTCGCTAAGATTGAAGGCAAAGATGCCAGAAGCTGCGCCATGAACAAACACCCTAGCGGCAAAATATACCTACATTGCCGGAGATTAATTTGCATTAGTGAGGCTAAGGACGGCCCCGAGGGACCCTACAAATGCGATGACGAGCTCGATGTACCCAACTTCCATCCCAAAAGCGATGGGAATACGCGAAAGGTCGGGGGATCTTCCACGTTCCGAAAAGGAAACACAGGCGACCTCTACTTTGTCACCTCGAGAGCGGAACGCAAGAAAGGTGGTAACCGTTTTGCCTTCATCTATAAACTGAGTAGCGATTGGAAGAGTATCGACCGCGAGGCCGCAAGCTGGGAATACAATGGCAGGGAATCGCCATACGTTGTAGAGGACAACAACAAGTTTTATGTCTTCACCTCGAGAACCGCCCGTTGGAAGTACTCCAGGACCCATTACAAGAAAGCGGACAGCCTGAAGGGGCTTGAAACAGCTAAAGAATTCTATGTGGACATGTGGCCACCAGACAACCCTAAGATCCAGTCGATGGGAACCCAGTTCACATACATCCAGAAGTTTGGCGATGGCAAGTGGATGTTCGGTGGGAGGCGCCACCCAGAGGAGGATCCCTGCAACTTTGGAGAAAAGTGGGGCAGCCTCGTCATGACGCCCTTTGAGTTCAAAGGAGGCACGCCCACCGTGTACTGGAGGAATTCCTTCGATTGGTTGGGGGAAGCCTCCATTACCTCGACTTACGATAATCACCCCAGAGACAGCTACCAACCGGACTGCTTTAACAACCCCGCCCTATTTGAAATGCCGTGGGGCCAGATGAAGGGATGCCCTTGGGTCCAGCGAAAGAAAACAGACATTCGGTGCGCCAAACCCGGTGTCACCTCCGAGTGCCCGGTAACCTGCGACGCGAAATTCTGCGACCCCGACTTCTGCGACCCCGAAAAGTGGAAACAGAAGCCCAATTGCCCATAGTGATTGCAAAATCACATGCTGCCTCCTACCTAATGCGCAGGATTTGATTGCTTCAAAGAACCTTTCCATTCCCGTCCCCTACGCTTGCTTCATATCGTCATATAAATAATAACAGAATAGTAACAACTTCTCATGAGTCGAAGGCAACAATCTTCCCAGCCAAACGTAGTATGTTTGTTGTCCTGCTACTCCTTGCAAGATTTTGGTACCACCATGCCTTCAATGTCACGAATCCCAACGACTAGCCGCATCGATTACAATGACTGCATACCTTGCCCATTCGCCGGTGCATGTACTGCCAATCAAAGCATGTTCATTGCGGGAGAGCGTTTCGCAGACGCAAATCCTTGAATGACTGGCCCTAACCATTTTGCTTCGTTCCACGGCATCTGTAGTGAGCTCTGAACTAGTTGATCGTATTGTGATTCCGCAGCGCAGGTCAAATGCACTGCTCTCGTTCTTGCTCCCGAGAATACCTTGCTGCTGTAACCCGCCGGATGACACGGTACGAGAACGAGGACAAAGGGTGTTGGTATCTATTAAAATATATCTGAAATTTTATCGATGTTGCCAGTGCTTCTTATAGCCGATGTGCAGAGGTGGTCTAGTTGGTTATGACGCGGCTTTAACACAGCTGAGGTCGGGGGTTCGATTCCCCCCCACTGTACTTTTGGTTTTCACGGCAATGTGATATCTCTGGTAGCTGCAATACTTTTTGACTTTTCCTCAGGTCAGTCACATCACAGTGGTTTAAGGGCGCAGGTGGTCACTGTTTCTTCATGGGCATTTCATGGGCACAATTTTGGAATAAGAGCAGAAGATGTAGCAGGAGATCATCCTTGTTCAGTTGGTGATAATATACTCCTGGTGGTGTCTCCTTCTTGTTCTCATGTTGATATTCTTTCTGCTGGTTCTAGTAGTAGTAGTAGTAGTAGTAGTAGTAGTAGTAGTAGTA